TGAATCAGAAAGTTAATCTGGCCAAATATACAACAGTCCATTTAACAAGCTTTTAACTCTAAAGACAGAGATTTTTTTTTTTTCTTTCTTTTGTTTGGTGGTATTGGGAATTGAATCCACCAGGCCTTGTGCACACTGGGCAAAACTCAACCATTGAGCTACTGACCACAGAAATGTTAAAACTTCCTCAAGTACCTGTGGATTTTTTAGGCTTTTATTTTTCAAATTACAAAAAACTTAAATAAATTGAGATAATTTTAAAAGACTATTGACAAGAACTAAACTTGATCAACCTATTTTAGAAGTTAATACTTGCTTTTGCAATTACCTTTCTAGCACAGATTCTGTACCAAATTCTGCTAACAGCTTGCATAATAAAGCTTTTTGTTCTTTTGGTGGGACCGGGGTTTAAACTCAGGGCTTCACACTTGGCAAAGCAGGTACCCTACAGTTGAGCCACACCTCTAATGTATTTTGCTCTGGTTACTTTGGAGATGAGGTAATCTGGAACTATTTACCCAGCCTGGCCTCAAACCACAATCCTCCTGATTCTAGCCTCCCAAGTAGCTAGGATTGGCTGGCAGAGTTAGCTCAACTGGTAGAGTGCCTGCCTAACAAGTGTGAGGGCCTGAGTTCAAACCCCTGCCATCACACACACACACACACACACACACACACACACTATATATATATATATACTAAAACCAAGTAGCTAGGATTACAGTGGGAGCCACTGGTACCCTGTTGCATAATAAAGCTCTTAAGAAATGATTTGACTTGACTTAGGAGACATGGATTCTATTTCCAACTTTTCATTAATTATTCATACGACTGGATCATTCATTCAGTAATCATCTACTTAAGAGATCAGGGTGAGTACTAAATGTTGCTGTCTCAGGAGGGGAATACAACAAAAACAGTATGAGATATGGAAAGGACAAGGAAAGGGAATGGGACAGCTGAATCAGAATATGGAGAACCCTCAAAGGTCACATTATGGGGACTGAACATAATCCCACATAGGCAATGGGAAGCTATGAAATGTATGTGTGTATGCATTTATTTATTTGGAGGTTTGAACTCTTGGCCTCATGCTTGCTAGGCAGGTGCTCTTACCAGTTGAGCCACTCTGTCAGTGCTGCAGGACCTTACTATGTTGCCCAGGCTCATCTCAAACTACTGGGCTCAAGTGATCCTCCCACCTCGGCCTCCCAAGTAGCTGAGACTACAGGGATGCCTGTCTTTATTTTTCCTTCTTTCTTTCTTTTTTTGTTTTTGGTGGTGCTGGAGATCAAACCTAAGGTCTTGCACATACTAGGTAAGTCCTCTACCACTGAGGTCTACCCTCAGCTTTTAAATAGCCAAGGGACATAAATAGGGCCACTTTTAAAATATGCTGCTACCAGTGTACAGAATAAGATGGAGAAGACAGATGGTACACAAAAATCCTATTGCAACAGCTTAAGTTAGACATTTTAAAAGGGCATGAAATATGATGGATTAAACAGAAAGGGAGAAATTCAAGTAACAGTGGTTAAAATTCAGTTATGGAACAGAGGAGAGTGAGGCATGGGGCAATGACAAGGACTCTTAAGTTGCTGTGATTCTAATAAAAGTGCTGTGATTCTAATAAAAGTACCATAACTCCAATATTGAGATAATAAACACAAAGAACAGCTTTGGAAATCACCTCACTTTTGTCTCAAAGACTTATTTAAAAAATGAGAATACTATCTACCTAAAGCTGGACAGAAAGGAAAAGAAATTCAAGTGAAATAGATATATGAAATCATACCCAAACTCAATAAAAATGTTAAATATTACTATTTGTCCTAGATTGTTCAGTCAAACTTCCAGTTACATTACTAGACTATTCCTCCTTACATACCTTTAGATTGCTTTGAACAAGACACTAAAAATCTCTGAATCTCCTTCTACAGTTGCAAGATGAAAATAAAAGCTGTAACCTTCCCAACAGAATGTGGTGAGGTTCAAATGAAAGACTGTATTTGAAAATAGGCCACAAACTATACAGCGCATAAAAATGCAAGAGAAGAACAAGATGCTACTGAGCTCTGCTATTAAGAAAGGACTGAGTTATTTGATTACAGAGTCCAGGTCTTGAAATTCAAGACCAAAAACCTCGATGGGAGAACTAACCATGAAATTACTAGGCTCTTGGAACTAAGCAAGGAAATCACTGAACATAATTTATTTACTTGTTTTTTGTGGTGCTGGAGATTGAACCCAGGGCTTCGTGCATCATAAGCAAGTACTCTACCAATGAGCTCTATGCCCAGCTCTGAAAAGTAAAACTCTGGATTTCACAAGACTGTAAACAAGAATCAAAGAAGCTGCTATTTTCGGAGAGAAGAAAGTTTATAGGGCTGACTCTGAGAACACCCAGAAAATAAGAAGTCAAAGATAGAAAAAAAATGTCAATTCTAGAAGGAAAACCAAAAGTTGTTTAACAAATCTGTCTAAAACATTCATTTCAAGGACTAATGTCAATGGTAAGAAAGCTGAACAACTTCTTTCTAAAGAATTCCTTCTTCCTTACACTGGATCCCTTCCTACAGCTGTCTCATTTTGTCCTTCCTCCTGTTTAAATCCAAAGGCAGAAAAACAAAACTGCCTTTTCTAAATAAAACATGCTCCACCTTTGTCTCCAGCTCCTCCAGTCATTTCTAAGGACAACACTGATTATTCTCCTTGCCTTTCCTACATAGTGCACATAAAACATTTCTGGTTTTTTCATGTAAGTTAACTTTAGCAAAATGTTACACAAAAACTGGTATCATTGATTTAATTAGCTGTATCAAATCGCAGCAAGTACTGTTTAAGTCACAATGAGTTTTTTTTTTCTGTGGCTATTTCTACTAAGTTGAATTTAACAAATGCAAACATTGTCAAATGCTGTTTTTTTTACTGTTACGTTTATTTTGTTTATACTATTTCTACCAGAAATATACATACTTATTTTGTAACTATGCATGTTTTCCTAAGAAATCTATGGAAATTTATAACTGACAGTAAAATCATGAGCAGTCACCCTCAGGAGTGCCAGAACTGCTTTGTATCGCTAAGTGAAATCTCCTCTGTACATTCAATCACTTTGCATACACCTTGCTAGCAGCATCCCTGGCTGGCAGAGCAAGGATCTAAAGGTTAAAACGGAGAAGTCAAACAGTATGGTCTTAATGAGGGGTCCCAACAGTGAGCCTATCTAAGCTCTGGCCTACCCATTACTTGCAAGACAAATCAAATACGAGAAGGTGACTTCTTAATCTTCTACATGTTTTGTTCTCATTATAAAGAGTCTATTGGTGAAAGGCACTTTTTAAATATATCTATATCTATCTATCTACCTATCTATCTATCTATCTATATACACACACATACACAGAGGGAGAGAGAGACAGAGAGAGAGAAATTACCTTCTCAAGTCATCTGTTTTACTATTCTCTTCTGCACTGAGTAGATCTGTTGCAAGACAAATGAATCACTGAATGTATGAGTATGGGCACAAATGCCCACTGAAAAAACGAGGTTGGCTTGTCTTTACTGTTTGTCACTTCCAAGCTTTGTAATGATGCTGAAGATCATTTCATTCCGTAAATGAATAGAGCATGAAATCAGACATTAAAAGTTTGAGTTGACTGCAGGGGGCTGGAAAGAATGTGTTGGGGCTGGGAGTATAAGCTGAGTGGTAGAATGCTTGCCTACAATGTGTAAGGCTCTGGATTTAATCCCCAGCACTGAGGAAAAAAAAAAAAAAAGTATAAGAATAAGTTATATCTGGGTGCTGGTGGTTTGCACCTGTAATCCTAGCTACTCAGGAGGCAGAGATCAGAAGGATCGGGGTTCGAAACCAGCTTAGGCAAATAGTTTGTGAGATCCTCTCTCAAAAAACCCTTCATGAAAAAGGGATGGTGGAGTGGCTCAAAGTTTAGACCCTAAGTTCAAGCCCCAGTATCACAAAAAAAAAAAAAAAAAAAAAGGAGTAAGTTATAAACATGCCTCATGCCTTTTCTAAAATGGTTAAAAAGTATAAAGTTAAAAACCAAAAGTTAAAATTTTGTACCTTCTTAGGGTAATGCTGAACGCTACCCAAACAAGGTGGGGTGGTACGTAACACATGTTCTTTGTTATTAATAAGGTAAGAGCAAAGTATCTGGGTTGTAGGTATTGACTTACACTAAAGTAGTAGTAGTCAGGCACTGAACAAAAGCAGTGCACTGAAACTCATCATGAATGCCCATGCTCAAAGTTAAAAAGAAAAACACTCAACTATGTTTAAATAGTTCTAAAAGCTAACTTTAGGCTTAAACCCACTCATTGCTACCACAACTTATAAACAGGATGCTCTATTGAGTCATTATCTTCTACAGCAGGACATGAATGTTTTAGTTTCAGCTTTGAAATTCTACCAGGGTTATCTGTGACTATGAAAGCATAACAAACATACTTTGATTATCTGGAAGGAAGATCAAAAGCAAATGATAACAAACACAAAACTTTAAAAATATATAGAAATACCCTGAAAGCTACATGTGAATCGCTGAGAAGTGGCCCCTCTTTTTCGATGTAATTAATGCTTGAATCTCCAGCAATTAGGTGTACGCTTCCTTCCATGCCCTCTACTGAGCTCTGACAGGCTGTGCTCTCTCCAGGATTCAATGCTTTTGCAAGAGTGTCAAATGCCCTATAAGGAGACATCAGAAGCCGTGAGTTTGGCTAATCTCCAACAATAAAATAAAAATTCTATAAAAAATTCTGGAGTTAAGATTTAAGTCTAAGGAGCTAGGGGTGCAGCTCAGTGGTAGAGTGCTTGCCGACCATGCACTGAGGTCCTCGGCTCAATCCCCAGGACCACGAAAAAAGAAAAATGAAGATTTAAGGCTAAAATAGTCTTTAAAAAATAGGACCGGGGTGTGGCTCAGTGGTAAAATGCATGCCTAGGATAGGCAAGGCCCTCAGTTTGATACTTATTACTGCCCAAAAGAAAAAAAAATTTAAAAAAAAATATTTTTGAGTACTGTTTCAATGATTTGTGATTATTTCCAAAATCAACAAATTAAACTTCCTATTTATAGTATAAAACACTATTCCCATGCTAATGTATTAATACAAAATTAAAATCTCTTTTTAAAATCTTATATAATGAAGGGGCAGAAAAATCCTCACACTTGATTATTTACAAAGAATAGGGGTTAGAATTTACATTAGCTTTACTGTATTGAACACAACATAAAACTGGGTCTTAATTGTATTAAAAAATTCAGAGAATGTTTTAAAACATGGCTATTCAATTAAATTTAAATTGTTAAGAATCTGAATTAGGATAATAAAGTTAGCAAATAATCATTCAAAATAGCTCCCCATGTTTTAACGACATGCTTTCCAGAGTTCCTTAAAATCTCACATTGCACAAAGTATGCAATATTCCATAATTATTGGTTTTTTGAGGTGCTGGGGATTGAAGCCAGGGTCATGAACTGCTGAGCTACACCCCCCAGCACAATATTCAAATTTTAAATGGTAACAGAAGTATGGGAAGAACCTGAAGAAATCTGGTTTCTATATTCTAAGTATTAATATTAAAACAAAAAGAAAAACAGAATGATGATGCTCTTTTCCTTAAGTGCAATTTAAAGCTGAAGTTAATTCAGTTACGTCTTTTACATTTATTTTCATCACTAGAAATCAGAGATGGGCTGGGGGAATCAACATAACTGTCTAGTAAGAAAATGTTTCCTTCCATATATACAGAAGAGATTTTCCAAGAAAAATATTTGAAATGTTAGATCCAAATTATCACTTAAGAAGAAGAAAATTCCTCAATTGTAAGGTTACATTTCTAATCTTATGATATTCACTTATTGCTTATTTAGAATGTAAACTGTTCATCATTTTGTACTAAATGCACTTTCCAATTAAACCTTACTATGCGTTAAATTTTAATCTAGAAACACTTGTTTTCAGAAACTTCTGTAAATAGTATTTCACACAAATATATTTCAATAAATACTAGAAAAATAAAAAGACAATATCAAAGTAGACCTTACCTTGAAACATCACCATTGGTCTGCATTTCCTGCTGAAATTCACACAAAGACGTATCACCATTGCTCAAGCTTTCCATCATAGGCATTTCACTATTGTTTTGAGAAAGGTCTTTAGCTTTTCCAAGACTTGCTAATGATGTGACCACACTGGCCAATGTACTCAAATCTCCCTGACATGATTCAGCCTTTAAGAAAAAAAAAAAAGTACTAAAATCCTACAAATTAGTATCAGTGTATTTTTAAATCTGAAATTCCTAGTTCTAGATTGTGAAATGAAAGTACACTGAGATGGATTAAACCTGAAAGTAAAATCAAAGAGTGCTGAGCATTTAGAAACATGAGGAAAACACAAGTTAAAAAAAAATTCTTAAGAAATGTTTAGGGCTGGGGGAGTGGCTCAAATGGTAGAGTGCCTGACTAGCAAGGGTGAACCCTGAGTTCAAACCAAAAAAATAAAACCTGAAAACAAAACAAAACAAAACAAAACTGCATTTAATGGCTCATTTATCCATGTCGCAAATTCTTCCTCTTATAAAAGGATATTAGATTATATGATCATCTAAGTTCTTATTAGCATTAAAATTCTTAATATTGTTAGAACTTTCAAAAGTCTTACAGAAACTGTAAATGCTATAGCATAGATATATAAAGACTACTAGTGAAAAGGGGAAAAAAGGCAACTGTATTAGAGCAAACTTCCTAGGATGCCAATTTTACTAGGCAGCATACTAATTGGAAATGTTAGCTACCAGACATTGCATTAAAAACAAAAGCGAAAAGAAATTAGTCATTTGTCCATTTTACTTTTTAGTTTTTCTTCTTATAGAGTTGAAGAATCTCTTTATAAAGTTAGGACATTCATCTTTTGTTGCATATTACTTACTTTCCCTTTGTCTTCACTTTTTATGTTTGCCAATAATGTATAGCGTCTGTTATGCATTAGCTGTAAATTCTTTTACAAAGAAGTATTTTCTCTCCTTAGCTCTTTACCTAAAAATATATCTTGTACAGGAAAGGCAAGTAAGTGCATAATTTTTCTTCTTTTTAGCTATCAGTCTTCAATGCAAAGAGCTGATATCTTAGCAACTTCTAAATGGTCACAGATGAATGCTTCAGGGCACCATTTTAGATGTTTCAATTAATTACACTTTTTTTGGGGGTGGGGGGCAGTACTGGGGTTTGAACTCAAGGCTCTGTTCTTGCTGGGCAGGTACTCCACCCTTGAATCATGCCCCAGCACAGTCTTTTTTAATGCTTAAATCATCTCACCCAAACCTAATAAGATCTTCAAGTTGCCTTCTGTGGTATATTGTCAAGATCCTGTAATATTTTTTCAATTAATACTTTCCCTTTATGTTTTTTGCTTATAATGTTGTTCTTAGTTCTTTTTCTTCATATTTCATATGTCCTACTGATTCTTTAGCTTATGTGAAATTGATTTTGCTAAGTAGAAAATGCTAATTTTTGTGCCCTCTTCACATTACCTACCAGTTACCAAGTTCTTCCATGACTAGTTCCTGTGTATGTATTTTATTCCTCACAAGAGCCCTGTCAAATAGGAATCATCATCCTTCCATGACAATAGGAAAATGTTCATAACACTCGAGCAGTAAGTAATGGAGGCAGGGCAGGAAGTGAGGCCTATCTGACTGCGAAGCCCATGCCCTTAACCAATGCTTCAAAAAGACTTCTTTTTAAATTACTATTATCTTTTGGCTTTTTGAGAGAGGGTCTTGCTATACAGCCCAGGCTGGCCTCAAACCTGAGAACCTCCTGCCTCAACCTCCCAAGTATGAGGATCACAGGCATGAGCCACTGTGCACAGCAAGCACACTTCTTATATGTGAGTCAAAGTAGTTGTTATAATTTTTATTTTGGTGATACCAGGATTTGAACTTAGGGCCTTGCACTTGAGCCACCTGGTCCATGTCCCCAAATCATTTTTAACTTTTTGAATTTTCAACAAAAACTCAGATGCTTCTATTATTTTCTTCCATGAAGAAACATGTCTAAGTAGATTTTTAAGTTTTTGCCACTGAAGACTTTCAGGTCACATGAAAAAAATCTCATCTTGCGATGTGACAGTTTGGGGGCCATTTGTTTTCTTTGTTTTGGGTGTATGGTTTGAACCAAGGTCCTTGTGCATGCTAAGCAAGTGTTTTTTCACTGGGTTATACCCCCAGCACTTTGGTGTCATTTTAAAAGAAACTTAAGCTGGGCGCTGGTGACTTAAGCCTGTAATTCCAGCTACTTGGGAGGGTGAGACTGGGGAGGAGTGTGGTTTGAGAGCAGCCTGGACAAATAAGTTTGTGAGACTCCCATCTCCAAAATAACCAGAACAAAATGGACTAGAGGTATGGCTCAAAGCAGGCTTTACACCTGTTTTGCAAGTATAAAGCCCTCGGTTCAAACCCCAGTCCCACCAAAAAAAAAAAAAGAGAAAGAAAATACACCAAGTTATTGTAACAATTTAATACAAATTAAGCAGAGTGCCTGAGCAAACAATAGTTCTACAATAAGACTTAGTTTCCTTTCTTTCCTAAAGGAGGTTAACTTCCTAAAGGAGTTAATGCCAACAAAATTTCAATTTTTATTCCAACCTGGAATCATGTAGATAAGGCTAAGTGAAGTCTGATTAATTCCAAGATATATAATAAGAGGCCAAACTGCCCTGGGTTCTACCCCAGCGCTGCTATAAATAAGTAAATAAATAAATAAATATTAAAAAATTATATGCTAAAGACAACATATACATAACATTTTTGTTTTATAGATAAGGAAAGTAAAGTACTGAGAAGTCAAAGAACTTGCCACAGTTATGGAGCCTGTAAATGGCTTCAGGGCCCAAGTATTTAGAGTGCCTGGAAGTATGAACTCTGACAAATACAAACACATGGGACAAACCCATGGGTTATAAAACTAGATCTCACTACAGGCTGAGAGAACGCCTGATCACAGGCTCCCTAAGATCTTCTCAGGAGAACTCTTTGCTTCTTGTTCTCACACGGAGTTTCTGAAAAGTACAGAAACTTTACATTCTCTTTTTAAATAAAGGAACAAAGTTGTTCTAAGAGAATCTGGATGACTTGGATGCACAGTATGCTCTTGTAATCTTAGTTCTACTCTTGACTCAAGTGAATACTCTGGATATGACTGAAGTGTGTTAAGAATTTCTCTTTGCCTGAAATACTTTAAATATTTTGACACTAATGAATCTGTAGGGGAAAATAAAAGAAATATTAAGAAATCTGTCTTATAAATCTCTTTTTCTTGTAATTTCTGTTTCAAGATGAAAGAAAAGAAACCTGGAAAAAATTTAAATGTTTGTTATTTTTATGTTGAAGCTATAATTCTCTTAGTTGGATAATGAACACTTTTACCAAATATTGATAATTTGTGTTATAAAAAAAGTAATGGGTAATGGGGAATATTTAAGACCAAATCAATGAATCAAAGTGATGGAAGATATAAAGAAACTAAAAAAATTTTAAAGACTTAAAATTTTACCTTTAGGGACTGCAGGTGTAGCTCAGTGGTAGAGCATGAAGTCTTGGGTTTAATCCCCAGTACCACCAATCCCCTTTCCCCCTGCTAAAAAACCCCCAAAACAAACAAACAAAACCACCCAAACTCTCACTTAGCTTTACTAACACACCTTATCTGATGTCATCAGCAGAGCTGACTCAGTTTTGATTCCAGACTGATGAATATTCACAAACATTCCTGAATCCAACAGTCCTGTTGACCTGTAACAAGTAAGTGTAAGTTTCAGCCTTACTTAAAAGGGGAAGAAAACAATGACCAGCTACTTAGTGCTTGTTTTACCTTACCTTGCAGCTTCACTATCTGTTACGAAAGTTGGAGTTGCAGCTAATGGACTTCGAAGGTCTTTTCGGATGTAGATTTTCTCTGTTGAAGCTGCACAGTTAGAAGATTTTTCTCGGGACACTTCAATGGGTTTTCTTTCACACTGAACAGCTACAAAAATGTGTTCAATGATTATAATACAATACAGAATGTATATACAGGCAATATAAATAAGCTCTACATCAGCATTACTGCAAACAGAAGACATCACCTATACTGAATTACAAGGATAATCATCAATCCTTAAAAATTATATACAAGTTCAACAAAGCTGCTTCATATTTATAAAACTGGCCATCATCCCTACTTCCACTCCTATGTTAGAAACACAAACGGATTTTTATCTTTTAAAAATTCACTGTAAAGGAGGAAGAATGGAGCTAGGAGTTCCTTATCTATATGAGAATTAAAAAAAAAAAAGAAATGAAATTTAATTGAAAATAATACTAATAAACAAAAAAGGTCTAAGATAGATGGAGTTTTTTTTTAGTTAAGAGCAGAGAAATTTTATAAAGAAATAATTCAATTGCCAAGTATTTATATACAGTATATATAAATTTATATATGTAATATGTAATATTTATCAGAATTTTATTTCATAATTAAGAGATAAAGTAGTACAGTTATTACATTATATTTTCTTTTTTGGGGTGGTAGGGAGGCAGCAGCATTCAAAACTAAGTTCTGCCACTTGTTAGTTGTATGACCTTGAGCAATTTTTTCAACCTTTGTTTACTCAAATGTAAAATTGTAACAATTGTACTACTGCAGAGAACTGCTATAAAAATAAGTTAATACATATGATAAGTGCACAGTTGGCTTATATGGAGAGCTTAATCAATATTGGTTAGTAATTATCTTATTAATCACTTTATAGTAGTTTAATCACAACATAAACTAGTATACAGTTAGTTAGGCCTTTTTTGGTGCTACTGTCAAACTATAAAAACATACTTGTTACACAGGTATTCAAAATACTTGTTGAATAAATAATACACATGTACATACTCTTATACTTTTAGTTGGAAAACTTTATGAAGCACATTTGTTTGACATATTTTAATATGCTAATTTGAACACACTTCTAGCATAAGGAATCCTTAAAAAGTATTTTCTCCTTTAAAGCCAATACATACAGTCTTGTTTCATTCCAAACGCAATACATCTCTGTAGCCTGCAGTACTGACAACGGTTCCGATGGTGTTTATTAATGATACAGTCCTTTGATCCCCGACATGAATATACTAAATTTTTTCGGATGCTTCTTTTAAAAAATCCTTTGCAACCTTCACAAGTTACTGCTCCATAATGACGCCCTAGAGATAAAATGTATAACAAAATATAAAAGACATAGTATAGAATACAAATCAAGTAAACTAATTTCATTTAAAGAGCAATACACGAAATGACACAGACTTTTGAGTTCCTAACAAGAAAAAAACTTTGGAGTTATTAAAGAGATAAGCAACCATATTCTGTGATAAGTAATATGAAGGCTTTCATTTTGTAAGATAACCTAAATAATGGAAAAGAAAATTTGGGAAAGAGAAAAAATCATCCCTAGTTCCACTACTTATAGAAGGACAGTATGTCAGCATTTGACACATAGTAATCTCTTCTCATGACTTCTACTTTTGAGAAATTTGCTGTATTTTGATTAACCTGTTACTTCGAAGAAAAACCCTTTCTTTTGCATAACTATTGAACAAACTCTGGGAAAAGCTCTAATGGAGGCTTTTTTAATGAAGCTTTGGAAGAGATTAACAAAAACAAACTGGCCCTTCAGCTCTATCCACTAGCACTTATGAATACACGAGTAGACACGAGTGTGCTTTTCTAACATGAAGTAACAATGGTCAAAACTAAAGGGACTTTAATTCAGAATCCTAGTAACAGGGTTTGAGAACTCAGTGCTCACGCAGAGCACCGAGTAAAAGTTAACCAAAGCCTTTCCACTTCAATAATTCAAATTGTTCTGCTGTGTTGGAACAGGGCTCAAAGAAGAATGTTCACAACTTAACATAATATATTACCAAGGATCACAACTCATTTTTAAACAGTTATAATTTTCATACTCAAAACATTTTGTACATGTTTACTTTCAAAATGTGAAGCTTTTTTATGCCTTTACAAATCCAAATTAAACTGCACTGAAGTTTAAAACAAAAAAGATGAATAAAGATTTGGAAAAAAATTAGCTAAATGATACAGGCTACAAATATGAACTACAAAAATGACATAATCCTTCATTTCTCTTTTTTACTTTTAGAGAAAATATGGTACAGTGGCAGTTTTTTTTTTTTTTTTAACAACACAACACATATAGGATGTTATTTTTAATGTTACCTGATGCTTTGTCTCCACATACTACACAAAGATCAAAAACCTTATTTGGTCCCTGGTCTGGAGAAGAATTATCTGTTAAGAGCTTTAAAAAAAAAGAAAATATTACTCAGTCACATTCTCATTCTGTTAAAAAAATGGAAGAACATTTGGTCTTGCTTTTTACTTTGTAAATTAAACTGTGAACTCTATTTACTGTGTACATATCAATTAAACTAGTCTTAACTTTGTTTATATATAGGTAAAAATTTTAATGTTATTAAATGCAGACAGTAGGAATATCTTTTCAATTTGTTTCATACCAAGAACACTAAGAAACCAAACACACAAACACATGAGCATTTTTAGTGTATCTCACTCATATGCGCTAGTATCACTCAGATGGCCTATGGGGCATTACTGCAGCAGTTATTAGCCCTGTTTGTCTCTGGAATGCTCAGAACCTTTCCAGATGGAGTGACGTGGCAAAAGCTTATTTATAATAGCATAAAAAGACAGCTCTGGACTTTTCAATTGGAAAGGAGTCATAAAGAAATTTTATTGATGTAATTAATTATAATTATGCAAATGACTGCTATATGAAGATACAGACTTTTCATTAGTGAGTTAAGACTGAGGTTAGGTGCACAGTGAAAGCATGGACTCTGCAGTCTGAAAAAGGGTAGCATGTAATCAAACTAGAGTGAGACTTGGTCGGGTGATCGTGGGCAAATTATTAAACCTACTAAATTATATAAAGAGTCCATAACTAGGCACAGCTAAGAGAACGCTGGCAAAGGAATACTATTTCCCTGCTTAAGGTTTATCTTTCAATATTTTCAGTAATTTCTTTTAATCTTTTAAAATGTAAACCATCTATTTAATCCAAAAATATGGGATATGGTATTTAGTAATACCACCCCCCCAACCCCCTTTAAAACAACAAGGTAATGCTTTACTTGGTTTTTTTTTTTTTTAAACTTGGGAGTGTGAATGTCTTGAGGAATAATTTTCATTTTGTGATCTTTAAGTGAAAAAAATACAAATAAACAACCCCTGAACTTTTAAATGGTTTTTAAAACGAATATCCCTTTCTATATATAGTACCCTTCCTATAACACCCCCAAAATTAGTCATCAATAAATACTTAAATTTATAAAAAGAAAAAAACTTCTGCTATTAGATGATGTCCTTTGAAAGCATCTAAGATAAGTATAACTCTTTTTCCTTAATAATATGCCTAATCTTTTGCTAGCTGTTATTCTTAAAGACAGAAAAGATATGGAAAGGTTAGAGAACTTGCTCATGTCCCTGCTCATGTCCCAGTTTAGGTCATTAGACTAGAGTAAATCTTTTTGGCCCAGCAGAATTTCAAAACAAACACAAACACAAACACACACACACACACACACACACACACACACACACTTTTTAAGGGGTATTTTTACAATGGCAAAAGCTGAGAAATACTACTTCATTAGGACAACTAAGGTCAACCTCACTACTTACTGGTAGTAAGTACTTTGATATAATATGACAAGTTGACATTTAACTTCTATAATGCCCCAAACCCATAACCCCTGTATATTTGTGAGAAAAACACCAGACAAACTCCAAATAATGGGGCATCCTCTAATATATATGACCAGTACTTGTTAACACTGTCAGATTATCAAGAATAGATCCCAGAAGCTGTTAAGGCTAAGAAGAATCTAAGTAGACATGACGGCTACATATAAAATAACCTGGAACAACAACAACAACAAAAAAGCACTTCAGATTAAAATCTAAGGAAAGACTAAATATTTATGGCATTTAGTTAATAATGCACAAAGATTGGTCCACTAATTATAACAAGTGTATCATAGTATTGTAAAATGTTTAAACAGTGGAAATTGTGTATTGGGTGTAATATGGGAAATCTCTGTACTATCTGCTCAGTTTTCTGTAATTCTGTAACTATTCTAAAAATCAACCTATTAAACAAAGAATAAAGAAATTAAAGGTATATATAATCATATTTTTTGACTTTTGTCAAGCTGATAAAACAACTTATAATGATGATTAGGACCCCTAATGATGGTCCTATCCAGTTTCTACCTGAGTTTATAAAAATAATACAAATATTGTCATTGGAAGAACAGAATATATTAAGATATACCTAGAAATAGAATTTTATGTTTTACAAATGGGGAGTTTTCAATAGTAAAAGGAATTTTCTTTTGCCAGTCTTTCATTACCAAATATGGAACCCAAAAATTCTCTGAGGCCAACGTAAGGATGCACTGTATTTCTATTCAATCACAGTAGCTGGCAGTAAAAATACTTACATAGCCACAGGCATCTGGTACCTAAATGTCATAACTAACCCTTTGAAGAATGATGTATAATAAATTTTGTATTCTAGCAAAAAGTAAACAGATGCAATATTGATCTATACCACTGCCTGAGTTCTTGCATAAATCAACCATGTAGACTGCGATGTCAGTGAAGGTGCAGATGACGACAGAGTAAGCACAAGGCAAAGCTAGCAGCTATGAGTCCTACTTTTTTTTTTGGTGGCACTGGAGTTTGAACTAGGGCTTTGCCCTTGTGAAGCAGGCACTTTGTAGCTTAATCAATGCCTCTAGTTTTTTTGCTCTGGTTATTTTGAAGATGGGGTCTCCTGAACTATTTGCCTGGCCTTAAACCTCAGCTTTCCTGATCTCAGCCTTGCAGTAGCTACAATTACAGACATGAGCTATCAGCGCCCAGCCGGCCCTACTTCTTGACTTGGTAGCTTCCTACATGGCCCATCAGCTTGGTTCTGAAGCTGCAGTTACAGAAGCTGCTCCTGGTGCGGCAGTATCGTCACTGCGAAGCAGCACTGGCCTCCTAGAACCAGTGTTGCAGCATGCCCCAATACTTGATGCTGGGAACCTGGCTGACAACTGTTTCTTCAGCCCTTCCAATCATTCTGCAAGCTTTCTATAGTCTTTAAATCCCTTCTCCTGGCCAAACTATCCAGAATGGAGCTCAGTATGAGATCCCCCTAAAGAACTCCCTAAAATTCTTGGGTGTGAGAATTAGAAGGAAAAGCAGAGGCCACAGGACAGGGCAGCCACAGACATTCTGCACTGCACATCATTTTACACAGATGTTTTTTCCTACTGAAAATACAGATACATAAAGTCTTAATGTCAGGATTTATGTCATGTTTCTTAATTTTTTACAAACGTAAGAGTTATTTACCTGGAGGTGTGGAGCAGACAGATCAGGAGTTGCAAAATACAACTGGTTGACACCTGCTGCATCTGGAGTTGTGAGGAAAACTTTTCCTGGAGTGGAATCTTGTCTGGCCAGAATGACCTTGCTTGGAGGAGTTGAGCCATCATGATTCGTCAGAATGAACTGCTTGCCTTGTGCATTATGATCAAGTGCTGTCACAATCTGGATTTTCTGCCCAGTTTGCTGCTCTGTAACAATCTAACACAATCACATCAATTCAACTCAATCTTAATATTATGTACCTTTTAAACCAGCAATTCTACTTCTAGAATTCTATCTGATAGAAATAAGCAAATGCACCAAAAGAGGCAGAATAATAACATCATTTGATCTCACTATTTTGATTTCTTCCTTCCTCTTTCCTCCCACTTTTTGTTTAAACAAGCAAGTATTTGTTGTCCTGGGATACAACAATGAACATCACAAAATCTTTGCCCCCTGAAGCTTTTATTTTAGTGGGGAGGGCAGATTAAATAAATAATGATACTGTAGTTTTTTCTATGTGCAATGATGAAAACCAAAGAAAGGTAAGGTGAGAGACACTGAGGGAATGAAGCCATAGAGGAAAGCTTTCTCTCAGGACATACTTTTTACACAGACCTTAGTGAAAACAAAACAAAAAACTCAAACAACAACAAAAAACCAGACCAAGCCTTAGGACTATGCAGGGAAAGAGCATCCCAAGGAGAGGAAACAGAACACTTAAGAAGGCTCTGGGGCAGGAGGGACTATATAGTAAGGGAACCATGTAAGTGAAAGACAGTAGAAGACAGGGACTATGGTGGCAAATGGAATCTGAACAACAGCATAGGGCTCCACACACCCTACAAGAAGTCTAGATTCCCTAGTGTGTGAAATGGAGGGACTAGGGGGGATTTGGAGCAGGGAGTGGCAGGACCTTACTTTTTAAAGAAGGACCATCTTAACACTGGCTGAATGGTTCAAGTGGTAGAATACCCGCCTAGCAAGCATGAGGCCCTGTGTTCAAACTCTAGTACTGCCAAAAAAGAAAAGAAAAAACCATTTTAGTGTGAAGAAGACACTTGGAATGTTCAAGAATAAAGGGAGATATACTGTCAATATGTGGTTATAACACACACGCACTGGGAACAGGGTAAGTAGCTATCTGGGGGTAAAAAAAACCGATTAGATTTGCAATATTTTGGGGGAGAGATGACAGAATATGTTGATGGATTAGATTGGAATATGAGGGAAAAAAAGAATCAAGGATAACTACGAAATACTGGCCTGAGCAATTGGGTAATAAAACTTCCCTCTGCTGAGATGAGGTAGGTAGGTAGGTGGGTTAGGGAGGAGCAAGTTCGTGAATAAAGAGAACTATCCCAGCATTGAAAGTTTTATTTTTGAGAATATATTTTCCAGTTAACTTTATTAAGCTAATTTAATTCCTAGATCCAATTTTCAAATGTCAGTTTCCATTTTGTTTTCATACTTTTTTTCTTTTTTGCAGTACTGGGGCTTGAACTCAGGGCCTTCTCTTTGAGCCACTTCACCAGCCCTGTTTTTGTGAAGGGTTTTTTTGAGATAAGGGTCTCGTGAACTATTTGCCTGAGCTGGCTTCAAATCACGATCCTCCTGTTCTCTGCCTCCTGTGTAGCTAGGATTAGAGGCATAAGCCACTGGCGCCTGGTTTATTTTCTAAAATTATTTTTACCACAATTCTTCAGTGTGCAAAACTGAAAACAAAATTCTTACTCATTAGCCAGTTTTCTGTCAAGAGATTGTATTGATTATAGCTGCTATCAATTTGAGCTTTCTTGGTTGACCATTATTTCTACCAAATCTTATTTTTTCTGGGTCTAGTTCTTTTAACTATTCTCAAATAATATTTTAGAAGTATTATGAAAGGTTTTGAAGCCGGGCATGGTGATCTTGAGTTTGAGGTCAGCTGCATAGTGAGCCCAGTCTCAAAAACACATCTATCACACCACCATCCCCTGGTTTTTGAACATGGATTCTCTCATAGCATTTATATTTGTTGCAGCATTTGTAGAACAAAGCTTACACTAACAGAAATATGTCTATAAGCTGGAGAAGCCCATTTTTTCTTCAACTGGAAGAAACAACTAATTTATCTTCTGAAGTCACTATAAACATTTTTATATTTTTTTACTAGTCTTATTATTTCTGCCTTATGATAAACTTATATAGATCTAACATGGAAATCAGTTGTTAGGTAATTTTTTGTCTTCTCTGTTTTTGGTGGTACTGACGTCTGAATGTAGGTCTTGTGCTTGCTAGGCATGTACTCTACTGCTTTAGGCATACCACCAGGTTTTTTTGCTTTAGTTACTTCTCTAACAGAGCTTTGCTTTTGCCTGGCTGACCCGGACCACAATCATGATCCTCCTATTTATGCTTCTTAACATTGCTGGTATGACAGGTGCACACTACCAGGTCCAACTGCCCATTCCTCTACCCCCCACCCCGCCTTGGGACGGGGGACTCAGGAACTTCCTGCCTGGGCTGGCATCAAACTTGTGATCCCTCTTGAGTGCTGGGATTACAGATGTGTACCTCAATGCCCAGCAAGTTTATCACTTTTTATAGGTAGTTATACCATAAGGAGATCTCAACTTAATTTTTAAACGTATTTTATTACAATATCAACATTTATTATAGGACATTTATATAAAGTAGCTGAATCTCATTAACATGACCAGTGTTATACCAGATTATGGTATGGTTTTGGTATAATTTAATTGAATTATGGAGGTATTTGTTTTCAGTTTTGTTTTTTAACACAATCTATCCTTGTCTCCACGCCAGTTAAATTTTAAGGACAGGTGTTATCACACTTGGCCATCACTTGGTTATTTTTGGACCTTAAATTCACTGGAGACAAAGCCAGTTACCCTGCATTACCTCAAAGACTGGTACTGAGGTTGATTTTCACTGGAAGCTGTTTTATAGCAAAGCCTGCCTCTCTTGTTCCTGCAGGGAGGACAGGAGTAGTGAAAGGAGGGCAGGAGAAGGTCACAAATGGAGAGAGGCTTGCTTCTAAGGCCTACCATGCATCCCCAAAACAGCTATGAGCCAACGACAGTGGCTAAAAACCAAAAGGAAAATACCAAACAAAAAAATGTATCATATACCCAGGTACCTTTACTAAAGAATGGGATACAACCATTTTAAAAATGAGCTTGTTTGTACTGACATAAGCCATTAAAGCTGGCCTCAGATTTCACAGCCTCCAAAACCATTCCCTGGTAAGGTCTCCATTGACCCCACAACTCTGGATTAGATTTATTTTTTTCCGTGTTCCCCACCCTGTACTATTAACTATCATAGCACTTACTATATTCTATTGTAACTGGTTATTTAACTGTCTCTCACTAGATAAAAAAACTATCTGAAAGTTAGTGGTATCTTTTACCTCTCTTTACACCCCTCCAGAAGCTAGCATACACATGTAACATAAATAATAATAGTTTGGTCAATCAGAAAATGACGTAGACATACCTCACTCATCTGTTGTTCAATAATTTGATGTGCAATTTCTTCGATAGTTGCCATGATCTAATTTTGTCAAAATGTCCTGCCAAAGATAAAAAATGTCTTTTTACAACTATACACATAAAAACATATTTACTGAAGAATTTATAAGTGAAATTATGACATTTAGGATTTGTTTCCAAATAGTGCAATTTTAGTGGGGAGGGGTAAGAGGGAAGAGAAAACCAGACTAGTCATACACTGATAATTATTGCACACACTGTCTGTTCAGTGAAGTCACGGGCAGGGCTTATGAAGCAATTCTCTCTGCTTTTGTACACAATGAAAATGTCTACTAAAAAAAGGGCTGGTGGAGTGCCTCAAGTGGTAGAGTGTCTGCCTAGCAAACATGAAGCCTTGAGTTCAAACACTAGTGCTGCCCAAAACAACCAACCACCCAAACCTAAGAAAAACCATCCAAGACTCAGCAACTTCACTTTTTTTTTTTTTTTTTTTGTGGGCATAAGGTTTGAACTCAGGGCCTTGTGTGCTTATGAGGCAGGTGCTCTACCACTTGAACCACAACCTTAGTAACAATTTTTTTTTGCAGTACTGGGATTTGAACTCAAAGTCTACACCTTGAGCCACTCCACCAGCCCTCTTTTGTGATGAGTTTTTTCACGAAGCCTAAAAGGAACTCTGAATGATACAGACCAGGAGTTGTAGCTTATGCTTGTAGTCCCACTACTTGGAAGGCGGAGGCAGGAGGACAAAGAGCTACAGAGTGAGAACCTGTCTTAAACTTAAATAAACAAAGAAAAAAACTGAACAAACTCATCACTTCACATGTACTTTCATCAGTATTTTATAAAAACTGATAAATTGCATACATTAAGATTCTCTAGAACTTTGTGAATTATAATATATATTAAATTTTTAATTAGCCTTTAATATATATTAACATATTAATATGCATATATTATATACATTTTGCTAAAAACAAAACATAGCAAAATAAAGCAATACTTGGAAGGACACATAAGAAAATGGCTATACTGAGTTGGGTGTGGTGGTGCATGCCTGCAATCCCAGCACCTGGGAGGCAGAGGCAGGAGGGTAGAGAATTTGAAGCCAGTCTGTGTTACATAGCAAATTCTAGGTTAGGCAGGCTGGGCTACACAGTGAGACTCTGCCTCAAAAAATAAATACAAATAAACAAAAACAAAACAAAAAGATAATTATAATAACCACTTCCAAGCAGAAGAATTGAAAAAGAGAAATCTATTTTTCACTAAGTGAAAAACTTTGCTTAAATATAAGTATTATTACAAAAATTAATCAGAAGTAACAAAAATAGTTTCCAGAGTCTTCTGGAAATTCTCAAACCAACATGAGTGTATCTGTATATCAGACTCCAAAAAGCTAGCTCATAATGAAAGCTTAGGTTGGTGAACTACGTATACACATCAATACTGTGTGACTACTTAAAAAAGCGTATAAATAGGAAAGCCTGAGTTCAAATCTCAGTATTTAAGAAGGCTGAAATGCACTACTGTTTTATTTAAACAGACCAAGGAGCTTGAAGGTGCAATGTGGGGAGGTTCTTGTTTACTTTGTCACCGGCAAGCAGGCAGCACGGTGCCCATGGGCTTGAATGTTAATGATCTTGGAAAGGTATCTTCAGCACTGAACTCATGGCTATTCAGATTTTTTTCTTTAGAAAGCACTGGAAACTGCAATGGGTTTATAACCTTTTTCAGAGTTTCAAACTCCCTACAGAACCTGCTAAAGCTACATGCTCTCCTTAGAAAAACAAATACATACATGTATCATATTTGTGATACATGGCAATATTCTAATTCTGTCTAAATCCTTTGCCCTACTACAGTAGTCTACAGCTCCACATAGCAAGACAACTGAAAAACTTTCAGAACATCTGATTCACTTGTACATCTCAATTTGTTTTGAGTAAAACAGAAATGAGGAATTTGAGAAAAACTAGAAACACAGATTTAAAAAAACTAAAAACTTCCTTTTGCCCCTTCCATTGTGACTTCAAACTATTTATCACATCCTATTAGTAAAGACTGTTGAGTGTTTGTCAAGCCAACTCACTAAAGATTCAAGTCTAAGAAGTCACAAATATAGTGATATATCAAATCTATAATTCTATGTTCATTATCCATTTTTCTTCCTAAACTATGAATATAATTTATATAATTAGATCCATAAAATAATGCAAATATATCCTACAATCTTGTTTAACTAGAAAAATGTTCACTATTTTAAAAAAAGAGGCAATTAATCTAAATTAATTAAAAATCCTAACTAAGGCTGTTTGAGGACAACCTGGACTATTTAGTGAATTCTAGCACCTGAGCTACATAAATGAGACCCTATCTCAAAAAAAAAAAAAAAAATCCTAAAGTTATCTCATTATTAAAATTGAGATGTTTCTAGAGGTAGCGTCATTTACTCTGGCAAAATTGTTTAGGGGAAAATGATGAAGTTGATGAGGATGAAACTGGCATTAAAACAGCAGTATTTATAAGAGTGTATGAATCACTTTCATTGTGACAGAAAATAAACTACTAATTTAAGCAAAAAAAAAAATTGGGAGAGGAAATATACACTACTAGAAAGCTGACTTCAGTGTCTTTAATGTAGCTTCTGTCTCTACTCTCAGATTCTCTGTATGTGACTTATTTTCAAATTTGCAGTAAAGCATCGTGAAAGGAAAAGTAGTTTTCTCTTACTCCAATTTAAAAATCCCAGTGATGGAGTTTGATTGGCCCAGTTTAGGTTATGCTCATGCCTTAGGTTATACTATGAAAATATACCAGGCAGAAGGAATAGGTTGCTATGATTGGCAGCTCTCATTTCTTAGAAGACCTATCTCCCAAGTGATGAGGACTAGCAGACATGGCTTCTGATGTAATAATCATGAGCCTGTGTATGAATTCAGCTCAACATGATTGCCCCGAGAGTAACCGTAGTCAGTTTTACATGAATAGTTTCCCAACTAAATACAAATCCACTAGAGTCTGGTTGGTGGAGTTTATAACTGGACCCTGGAACCAAAAATGTGCCTGACTTTCTTATATTAGCTTAAGATAAGCCAGAATGTATCTGTCTTATCTTAAGCTAATATAAGTTTGCAAGATAAGTAATGAAATCACTTTTGTCCTAGTCAATATACATGCCCCTCTTTCTGACCCAAACTGCAGGGATCTAACTTGTCTTGCTACTGCCTAGGACCATGCTTCTGTCAGGAAGTGTCCCAATAAACTGCACTCTGTGCAATCCTGGACCTGCCAGCCTCTCTTCAGTCTCATGCACCTCGGGCTGGTTTTCATGCACTGGGAGTGGGATGCCAGGCAACTGCTTCAGCTTACTTCTACTAATACAAGTCCACAGAACACCATTAAACTACTCAAAGAGTAGTTCAAGGTCCATGTTGTTGTTTCTAGAGAACTCTCAAATTGCTTTTGCTTTCTTGTCTTTCCCCCCCAAAATAAACATGCCAAAAAATCTTGTCTTTTAGTTTGTAAATTAGCATAAGGGGTGAAGGCAAGGCAGCCTTGCAATCCTCAATATTAAAAACATGAAGGCTGGAGATACAGAACCTTACTGTTATGTTTTCTCATGAAAACGAAACAAAACACAGAATCAAATTAGCTTTGGGTTACCAGTTGAAATTTTATTCCCAGTTTTATAAGAAAAGCTAATAATTTAGGACATGGATGAAGATTTCAATGATAGGAAAGAGTTTTTAATATTTTCTAAAAAAAAATTAAATTTGAATAATTTTTAGTGAAAATAATAAAGTATTTTTAAAAAGCAAATAAGCATGAAATGATGTATATACGTGAATATATACATGCATGTATATATGCATGCTAGCTATACTATAATGAATAATATGTACAGATCTCCAGGACACCGCTAATGTTCTAGCCACCGAACAAAACTGTTTATTTTCTCCCCCACCACATGAACTCCATCTTTCTAAACCTTAAACTTTCTTACCTTCATGTAAAAACTTTTTTTGGTTGAGGCGCAGTACTGGGGATTAAACTAGGGTCTTAATGCTTGCTAGGCAGGTGCTCTACCACTTGAGCCTCATCCGCAGCCCAGGTAAAAACTTCTTTTACGTGGCTGGGGTTGTGGCTCAGTAGTATAGCACGTGCCTAACATGCACGAGAAGGCCCTGGGTTCAACAACAAATAAAACAACAAAAACTCTTCCCTGGAGGTTTACTCTAATGACTGTGTCATTGTCATTCAGTGACTTCTTTTCTAGTCCCATTACTCACAGAGGATTTTTACACTGAATATTGTTTTGGTTTTGCCATCAGCACAGATGACTTGTGTCCATAACCAATCTAGTCTTCCAAGGATCTTGACCTCATAACCCAATACAATTCACTAATTGCTAATTTAATATTATGCAGTCAGATTGCTCCAGCATGTAGATCTGATATTGACCTCTCTTCTTGGTATTCTTCACAGCTTTCCCTTTACCTATAGGATCTGAACCATCATTTGTTAAACCTTACCTTTAGCTGTACATATCACTCCTAATTTATTAATTTACCATACTGTTTCCTGCTTCCACATCTTTCCACCAACTTTTTTCTATACCATCAATGTCATGAAATAACTGTATCATTACATGCTAAGACCAAATACAGTACCAAACATGAGGCATTCTTTACAGATTGTTGATAGAAAGCTAAAGTGTTATACTTTCCTAGAAAAGTAATTTGCCAATGTAGATCAAGACCCTTAAAGGTGTTCATACTCTCAGCATTTGGAGGCTGAGGCAAGGAAATGGCAAGTTAGGGGCCACTCTGAGCTACACAGTGAGACCTTATCTCAAAACATAAAAGATATTCATAGCCAGGCATGGGGGCTCACACCTTCATCCTAGCTACTCCAGAGGTGGAGATCAGGAGGACCAAAGTTTGAAGCTAGCCCAGGCAAAAAGTTGGCAAGACCCCATATCAATCAATAAAACGCTGGGCACGGTGGTATGTGCCTGTCATCCCAGCTATGCAGGAAGCCTAAAAAGGAAGATGGTGGTACAGACTGGTCTGGACATAAAAGTGAGACCCCTATTAGAGAAATAATAAAGGCAAAAAGGGCTAGGAGCAGAGCTCCAGTGGTAGAACACTTGCCTGGCAAGTGCAAGGTTCTGAGTTCAAGCCTCAGTACTGCCAAAAAAAAAAAAAAAGTTCATACTCATTATCCAAAAATTTGTTCTGTATTCTTGTATTCAACAAATACTTGCTGAGTGCTTTTTAAATTACAAGCCAGAACTTTGTATGGGTGTGGGAATATAGGAGGGATATTAAACAAACACATCTACCCTTGTGAAGAAAACACAGAAATAAGTAAAATGTACAATATCAACACCTGTTGCTATAACAGACTGAGACTGGGTTATTTATAAGGGAAAAGGTTTACTTAGCTCACAATTCTGGAGGAAGGGCTGTTCAAGATTAGGCAGCAGGACTGGGCGAAGGCCTCATACCACATTATAACATGGCAGAAGCACGTGCAAGAGTGGCAGAAGGATCCAGGCAGTAGAGACAAAACACAAGGGGTAATTCTGCTTTGTAACAACCTGCTCTCATGGTAATTAATTCAGGTGGGTGACTGAGAATTCACTCACTCCCAAATTTATTATTGCCCCTCATGACTCAAACACTTCACTAGGCATTACCTCCTAGCAATGTCACATCAGGAACTATGCCTCAACAGTTGTTTTGGTGTGGTGGACCACGATTGAATGATAGCAACCAACAAATGGTGAAAAGTAGGATTGAGAAAAACAGAAGACAGGCTAGTGACAAAATACTTGAGGGGGGTGAGGTGGTGCGGGGAGGGTTTGATTTTTAAGAGGTCAGAGAGGTCTTCCCAAGAAGGCATGTTTTAGCAAAGACAAAGAGGTAAGGAAGCAACTCATCCAGCTATCTGCAAGCTTCACTTCCAGATTTTTCTTTAGGACACATATTTGTGCAAAAAAAAGTTCTCTGCAACATCATTTAGAAGAATGAAACCACAGAAACTGAATAGCAAGAGAATTTTAACTAGTCACTATTATATTAATTAAAATTATGCGTAAGAAAATTGTTTAATGATGAAAATACATAAGACAAACTAAATGCTAAAAAAGGAAAGAAATAAAATTTTATTTATCATATCCTATGCCAAAACATGCAAAGACTAAAAAGTAACTTAAAGGACTTAAGTGGTAACTGTGATTTTTCTATGCTGAGAATTGCAGACCACCTGTTTTCTTCCTATAGTTTTTGAATGGGTAACCACTATTGTAATCAGAAAATTAAGCATTCCCACTTTCCAAAAATTTGTAAATTTATGCATCAATTAAAAATGAAACTGAAAAGAAATATTAGGCATCTCTTTACCTGTATCTCTATGCATTTTGTCCCCATCTTCTAAAGTACCCATTTCTCTGCTTTATAAAGGGCTCTCACTTGTAATAAAAAGTTGAGCATGATGGTACATACCTGTAATTCCAACATTTGGGAGGCTGAGGCAGCAGGACCATGGGTTTGAGGTCACAGAGCAAGATTTAGTCTCAAAAAGGGAAAAAAAAAGGTCCCCAGTGTCACAGTGCTGAGGTGGGGAAGGACTGGGTTAATTCTAGAGGGAATGAGTTTTGCTCTCAAGGGACTACAGTGGTGACTCTGGGGGCAGGCTGTTACAGAAGCAAGGTCCCTCCTCTTGTTTTCCCTCCTCTTGTTTTGTATCTTTTGCACTTGTCCATTTGCCCGTCCACTTTTCCACCATGTTATGATGTAGCACAAGGCTCTTATCAGATGCTAAGGAGATGTTGGCAACATGCTCTTGACCTTCCCAGCCTCCAGAACTGTGAACCAAACACTTCTATTCTTTATAAATTACTTACTCTACTGGGTGTGGTGGTATATGTCTGTAGTCTCAACTACTGGGGAGGACTGCTTGAGTCCAGGAGAACAGGAATTTGAGATCAGCCTTGGCAACATAGTGAAACCCTGTCTCAAAAAAAATAAAAAATAAAAAAATAAATCACTTGTTCTCAGGTATATTGTTTAAGAGTATAACAGAGTGTCCTAAAATTCAGACCTCTGATTCCAATTTTACTACATACTAAATGTATAACTATATGTCAACCACATAACCCATGGCACTGTTTCCTCAGAAATAAAATAGACTCAATACAATCACAACCTACCTGAGAAGGTTAGATTTGTGGAAGTGAAAAAATAGCTACATTAGTGGCTAACAGTCTGTTACAGGTCAGAAGTATTCCATGGAAGTAAGCTGAATAAACAAAGTGCTCATTAAATGAACAGAAGTGCAGAAGAACAGTAGAGAAGAAGGGCTTAGGGAAATCTTACAGAAGAGACAGTTGAGTTAGTCATTGATGGGCATTATTTTTACCAGCCGGAGGGAAAAAGCAAAAAGCATGAGGATGCTATCTTTACCACTCTAGTACTATTAGCCTTGCTCTTTTTGTCCAATTACCTTGATCTCATCCCCACATCTCTTTCCCACACAAAGGGGTGATTTTTTAAAAGTACACCATGTAGATGATGCCATCCTTCTTTCTTTCAGACTCTAAAATTAAAGACCACTTTTAACTTGTTCTCTCCCTGTACCAGACACAGTTCTTTTTATTTCAATCCTTTCCCATCCCAGTCCTATTCGCATGACTTAATGTAGGCTACTGTCACCCACTGCAATGCCTTGCAAACTCTGTGTTGTGAACAGTTTTACCTATGGGGAAACTGACTCAGTAGGTCATGACCAGAATAAGAAAGAAAGAAAGAAAAAGAGGAAGCCAAAGTCAGGAAGGACAATAATCGTGTATCAGCTGTAGCAAGGGTAAGCAGCCTGGTGAAAACTACTTCAACTGACAACACATGTGGAGTGTGCTGGGTCATGATATGAAATCCATTCTTGTGGTATATAGTCAACACATGGAATGTATGACATAAAACAATTATTTTGGATTTTTTCCCGTTTGTTTGTTTTGTGGGAGTGGGGTGGGTCCCTTTGAAAAATCTTCTGTAACTTAAGGTTTCCCTCTCCAGAAAAAAAAGTTCACATTTATTCACACCCCAATATTATATGCTAAATTTCAAGACTCATAAAATCTGCAGCCAGTCCAAGGACCCCAACCTAAGAACCCGAGGTAAAATTTCCAGAGATGACTGCATGTAATTGAGCCAGTGGAAAGCAAAATCACAATCTCCCTCAACACATCACCCTCACTTAAATTGTTCCTAACCACTGAGACTCAGTTCAAGTCCTTTATTACCCAGTGTTTCCATATAGGTCCAGCAGACATCACGTACAGTAAGTTGTTAACCCAGGATTCAGGAACAGATTTCAACTACTTCGTAATATCATATACAAAATTTTATGTAGAGGTCCACTTTTCTAGAGATGGTCTGAAAAAAAGATTTTATGAGCTTGGGAGGGTCATGAGACTCAAAAAGGGCAAAGAATTATGCTTATACTATTATTTATTGTATGCTGTTTCTTTTGTCTCTTCTATTCTGCTTGGGTAGGAATTACACATTTTGTGTAGTGCACACATTGCTGCCACTGACTTACATTTCTTGCAAAACTTTTTTTTTTTTTTTTGCAGTACTGGGGCTTGAACTCAGGGCCTATATTTTGGGCCACTCCATCAGCCCTTTTTTGTGATGGGTTCTTTCAAGATAGTGTCTCGAAAAACTATTTGCTGGGGATGGCTTCGAATGGCGATCCTCCTGAGTAGCTAGGATTACAGGTGTGAGCACCAGGCTGCAAAACTCCTTCTTAAAAGACTGAAATGTGCTACAAGGAATGACAGAATTAATTACACTTAGTGCTACAAACTTAAAAAAAAAACAAACACAAATATTTTCTTTAATTACAATGAATGCAACATTAAAAGCTTTTAAAATCAGAGTGAGTGAGCTGGTAGGCCACGAAGGAAGCAGGACTGAAGCTGTGGCCTGGGGATTTGAACTTTGGTCGCCACCACTCTGATCACAGGCCTCTGGAATAACTAGAGAAATACGTTGTATCCAGACATTCAAGTTACATCTGAAAGTTACTGGACTCTTATTTTGGGACATTTTTACTAAGAATATACTATCTTTCCATTGTCTCTTAAGGCCATTTGGCCCCTCTTCTTTGCCACCATTAACAGGCCAACCTTCTCTGCTTTCCTTAGAACACTCATTCAGAACTACTTATTTGAACCTGTATATTCCAAACTGCAATTCCTAAGACGCCAAGTAAAGTCCTTCTTAACCTTTCCAAGTCGATCTCCCAACTGGACATTAAAAACTCAGTTTCGAAACTATTATGTATCACCCTCACCCAACGCGAACAGACACTGTTCAAAAACAAAACAAAACAAAACAAAACAAAACACCCTCAAAGTCATAGGCATACTTAAACTTCCGGAGGCGCAAACGCCCTAACTGCCTTAACTGCGAGTCTTTCTGCTTTTTCCTTCCAGTTCCTTTACAGGCTGACCTACTTACTCAAGGTTAAGGGACAACTTGGCAACATTTCTATTTCATAAAATGATCTTTGCACGAGTCGGAGGCAGGGTTCTTAATAAAGGAGCAGTTGCAGGCTTGGAGCCGCAGGGTACACTGAGGACCCAGGGCGGATCCATTTCTCACCCCCCTAAAGGACACAGGTGCCAAGACGGCGCCCTATTTACAGCGAGCGAGATGTGAAAGTGTGCGTGGCGGGGCGTTCACCCCGCGGGTCCCACGTAGCTACGCAGGAGAATCGGCCCTGGAAGCCGGGGGTTCCGGGACGGCGCGAGCACCGCTACCGGCACCCACACCCGCTGTGCGCCCAAGGCGCGCGGCTCCCCGGGGCGGGAGAAGCGGCGGCGCCGCGGAGACGGAAGCTGTTCCGGTAGGTGAAAGGTCACAGCGCAGCGGGAGGCGCCCCACCGTCCGGCCCCGCGCGCCCGGCAACATCGGCCTCGGCCTCTCCCCGGCCCTGCCGCTCTCCGAGTTCCCGGCCAAGCTCGAGTAGCCGTGGGGACCGGGGGCTGCCATACGGGCTGGGTCAGTTAGCAGTTGGGATGAAGGGACATCCCCGAGCCTCACCGCCACCGCGGGTCTCCTTGCTCCGCACTTACTGCTTCTCTCCACTACGCCCGCTTTGATCGTGCCGCGGCGGCCGCTGGGCTGGGGGGGGGACACCCCGGGAGGACAGGCTGGAGGAAGCTGACAGGCGGGGGGACCCCGGCGAAGAGGTTTGTGTATTTGGGGGGAGGTCAGAGTTCGTGACCCCTCCCTCGGCTCGGCAGTGCGCGTTCCAGCTCGCGCCTGCGCAGTAGCGCGACGAGAGGAGATGGTGAAGTTCCCCGGGTGGGCGGAGGGACCCGGGAGTCCAGCTGCGGCTCTGAAAGTCGACTGCCCCCTTTGGGTTTGGAGGGAGACTGCCCCCCAGAGCTTCGTCCCCCGAAGTAGCTTCTTTGGGAAGTCATGTACTTTTAGCAGCATGTTTGCCAAAGGTGTCATTAAAGGAAGTTTTTGCTATTTCGTTTTTTGGGTTATGTTGCCCAGACTGGCTTTGAACTCATGATCTTCCTGCCTCAGCTTTCCCAGTGTACAGAGTGTGCACCATGGTCTTCTTAAAGAAGCTAAGCCAACATTTCATGTTTGAGTAACAATAAATAACCTAACTGGTTTTAAGCACTTGTGTTTCTAATTACTCTGGGCTCTGTTACAGGCTAGCCCTTACATTAGACTATTAGAATACTAGTAAGTCTTGGTAGATTCCAACCAGATGTTTAAACTTTCTAAATAGAACAAGCTGAGGCAAAATCATGTATAGTAAGGTAAAGTTTAACTCAACTATTGTGAGTAAAGAAATATAATGACTAAATATAGGGGGGCAAGAATATAATCACTACTGTGTAAGTTCCTGAGGGCTACTTTTTGTCTGTATTGCTAGAGGATGTATTTCCAGTACATAGTACCCTGCCTGCCGGTCAGTAAAGATTTGCTGAACAAAGGTCAGGAATGTAAGATCATATTCTGACAGTGGCTGCTTGTGGCTGGAAGCTCTGACCTGTGTTCTAAGTACTGCGTGGTTTAGACTTTAGGAAGTGACATCGATCAGTACTATAGAATAGAAGCCACAGATTGAAGACAACTCCAAGTTAAGAAAAGCAAATGTGTGTTGGAATGAAAATCTCTGTCATTTCCTGAGGAACTAGGTAGGTGGGCAAAGAAAAAGGGCATGCAACATTCCCTAACAATTTGAAGAATGCTTCATTCTCTAAAAGTTCACTTCTAACCTTTTAGCATTATTTGGTGTGTGTTTAGTTTGATTATAAGGTGGCCCTTCCTCCCTGAAGTATCCTTAAGCTGGTCCCAAAGGTGAAATCTGTCAAAGTACACCGTAGGTCCAGTGGAAAAAGGTAATCTGAGACCTTTCCCTACAATATGCACACTTGAAGTGAGGCTTGTAATTACCCTTTATTATCCAATTAAGGCATGTAACTCAAAATACACTGACTTATTAAAAGCTGGAAGTAAAAGCCATTTGGGGAACATCGCTGCAGGTGAGGTCTCCCTTAATTGTGTTCACAGAAAAGGTTACTGAGTTGGTCTTTAAATGTGTGTCTCTGAAAAAAAGGTATGGTTTAAAAGACTTCATCACACTAGCAGTAGATGTTACAGCAAATTTATTTTGCATAAATATAATACATATTAACATTTTTACAATGCTAATTATTTATAAATGATCTATATCTTTATATGAACAATAAAATACAAACTATTATCTCTTTAAGCAAAAAGTGTTTCTAGAAATACATTATAAATCATTAAAAATAGTATTTTAGGACTGATTCTTAAATGTTAACAACTCCTATGAAAGGGAAGACTGTCCCCCCTTCATTCCTCATCCCAAAGGAACAGAAATTTGATAGTTAAGCTTTCTGAAAATCTACTACCTTTAAGAAAATTCTAGTAGGAATTTTTATGGAACTGAAGTTTGAACTCAGGGCTTTGTGCTTGCAAAGCAGGTGTTCTACTGCTTGAGTCACATCGTCAGTACAGAGCTTCTTTTAAGAGAAAAAGTCATAGATAAGCTTTCCCTTTAGAAAATGACATTAAAACTGGCATGGGCTCCAGATGGTGTGTGTATTGGAGACATACCATAGGAAGGAATTTAAGTAAAAAAAATACTGAGTGTTCGCTGTATGCAGGGCACTCTGCCAGATGCAGGAGGATCTCAAATGAACAAGAAGTGTTTTCAAGGGCAGAATGTGATAAGAATCATGTAGGAATTAGTCTGAATCATGTAGGATCTAGTCTGAATCATGTAGTATCTAGTCTGAATCATGTAGGACCTAGTCTGAATGAACAAGGGGGAGAGAAGAGTGGGGATCAGCTGTCCTAGAGATAAGTAGGTAGAGATGGGGCTGAGGAGGATGAAAAAGAAGGAAATTGGTTAAATGGGTGTGTGGTACCAGAGGAATTGTCCTATGCCACTCAAGGCTTTAAGAGTAAGGATTAAATTAGACTAGAATTATGGCTCAGGAAGATTGCTCTGGCAATGGACACAATGGATCACACAAAGAAGGCACTGAAATTAAAAAAGTGAGTTTTTCCAATGCTAAGAATAGAACCCAGGGCCTCATGTATGCTTAGGTAGGTGTTCTGCACTGCACTACTCCCGAACCCCAGAAGAAAAGATACAGCCATTATTAGGAAGAACTAATAAGGACTTGGGGAGGGCCTACACAAAAACAGCTGCAGGGCAGTAAGACTGGAACGGGTACAAGAAAAATCACAGAGTATTATTGAGACTTGCGGGCGGATTCTGGAAGCTCGTCTGTCATTTTTCTATTATGGAAGAAAAAGATTTGGATGGGAAGTGAGTCGAATGTTAGTCATGTAACGTTTTAACTGCTTGAGGACTCACGTGATATCAACAAGCTCTCACAAATAAGGTCTGTAAACATGTCTTTGTAGCAGGGTGGAGAGAATGGGTCTAAGATTTGAGTTAGAATGAGAAATTTGAGAACTGTTTTGGGTTGTAGACAAGAATCCTGTTCTCAGCCACATGTGATGACCCACACCTGAAATCCCAGCACTCAGGAGGCTGAGGCAGGAGGATCATGAGTTCCAGGCTAACCCTGTCTCAAGCAAAAAACAAAAACAACAAAAAAACCCAATAAAACAAAATAAAAATGGGAAAGAATTCTGCCATTAGAAAACAGGAAAAGAAGTTGGAAAGAGGTTCAGAAAAATGGAATAATGACAGAGATGACCTTTCTCACTTTCTGAGGACTCCAGATATAAATAATGGAGACCCACTGGTTAGGAACACTCACTAAAAAGGCCATCCTTACCTTAGTTCAGCCTGGCAGCTCTTGTGTAGGTTAATTTCAGCATAATTTTCAGCTTAGTTTTAAAACTGCCCACTCTCTCCTTCTAAATAAAAGGAGACAACTGAAAAAGGGTTTGATGCAAACACATGTGTCTGTGGAACCACTCATATTTTTTAAATGTTAGCATTCAAGAGATGTTTTTTAAAGTATTTTTATGCCAGGGTAGTACATGCCTATAATTGCAGCATATGAGAGGCTGATGAGGCAGGAGTATCAAGAGTTCAAGGCCAGCAGGCTACATACCAAGACCTTGTCTTAAGAAGTAGTTTTATACCAAATTGTATATAATTAGGCTCTCAGTTGGCATTGAATGAATGAGACAAAAATAACTGATCAGCTTTAGTAAGTCATGAAGGACTGATCACAGGGTGGGGGGATATAATACTATTTCACATTTTAAACATTTTTTTTGGGAGGGGGGAATCTGATACCTTATGTTTTCTATTTTTCAAAACTCTCCACAGGCTAATTAATTGGCTAAGACAATCAGAGTTTCAGTGGTACTTAAGGAAAATTACTGTAAGTTTGTGCTAGCTTTCTCTTTTATTTATGTGTGTTTAGTTTTAGAAGTGGTTCTTGATTCAACCAGGTATTGTAAGGTAGAACAGCCTGGCTAATATTTCTTACATTTTGAGGCACAAGTCAAGTCAGTTGTTACTCAGAGTTACTCAGAGGCTGAGAACTCGATGAAGGGTAAGAATGCCAAAAAACTTGCTGTCTTGCTAAATGCCAGACAATTCAATAGAAAAAAATATTTTAAAGTACAACCTTGGCTTCCAAAAAAATTACACTGTAAACTGCAAGGATTTTAACATGGGAGGCTTATTTATGTGATTTTAATTAATGGACCTGCAAAGAAATATTAGTTTACCTGACTTGGGAGGACAGCATTTGAAGAGTGTCAGGTTGCACAGGGTTTAAAGTGATGCCCAAGCTAGATATATCCAGGAAAAGCTGCAGCTGTCCACTCTATATAAGGGCTTCATAGAAGTATGCAGGATGTAATTCTCTTGACTACCAATTATCACATTGAATTAGGAAATCTTTTATAAAGAAGCAGAGAGGAAATTCTTGTGCCCGTTAATGAAATACTTTTTAGGGATAATTTATAATTTAAACTCAGTCAACAAAATGTGTATTATGAACATCAGGTATGACTTTAATTATTGCATTAATTTCATTTTTCGTTTGCTAATCAACAATTTTGTGTACAAGGGGGTTCATATGTTAAACACTAAATACACTAGAATTATGATGATAAAATTTTCCTAATGAGGTGTACTGACAGCTAAAGAAAGGAAGGATTTTTTTTTTTAAATTACCCCGAAGACAAATCACAAAGTGGTATAAAAAGACCCTTCAAAAAAGAGTATTATACAATTTCAGCTAATGCTGGCTTAGAATTTGCACTTTTTTAATATGGCAATTCCAGTTTATTTTTTAAAGCACAATATTATAGAAAACATTCTTTTTAGATATAAATACCACCATTGACTTGGGTTCAGAACTCTTACAATAGTAGGGGATATTGTATAATATAATACCTGCCATATTTTGCTATTAAAAATTCATTTATGTTTATGTTGAACTTGCAGTTTAAAAAAAAAAGAATGGACTTAATGAAAAGCCTATAGATGTGATTATTTGTGTCCCTCTGCACATGGAAATTTCCTCATTCCCACTCAGTTTAAAAAAAATTCAGATTTCTATCCCTTTACTATAATTCTTTGATGACACAGTATTAACTCATGCTAGAAGAGGTACATAAGAAGAAATACAATTGACTGGAATTTCATTTCACAGTTCCTGAGGTAGCAGCTGCCCCTGTGTTTTTCCATTAAGAGATACAAAAACTCATCTAAGGTTATTGATTTAAAGACATGCATTTCTTCACCAGCAGTTTTATAATAATCATAATTTCTAAATAGAGCACAGTGCAGAAGTTTGCTCCTTGACATGTTTTTTTACTTACAAAATTTACCACTAGTGAAAATGTCACAATGTAAGGCAGAGACAACAGTGTGGCCTGTGTAACAAATAGTCAATACAATATACAGTATTCAGCTAAGGATTCTGGTCTCTAAAGAAATGGTGCTTTAGAATTCAGTGTGAGTCTCAGAAATAATTCTGACCATTAAGTAAACATCAAAATTTTAATAAATAACATATATGAAAAAACAAACATTAAAAAAACTATGTATACCTAAGAAAATAATTTCTTGTATCGATGCAGAGTTTGGTTGCATTTATCTTCGCAGTGTTCATTTTTTATACGTTTTTAAATTGCTTTTACTCCATTCTGATGAATTTCCATATCCTTGGAATCACAGAAGAAATGAAACCATTACTGCTACAATATTGTGCCTTCCTGAAATGCTTCTATCCACCTATTGGTAAGAGAAATCTGTTAGATTTGTAAAACCCAATCATCTGGTATATGTAAATACCACACAGATACCAGCTGGCCTGTAGACCAGATTACCTTAGCAGCATACTTAAGCGCTTTCCTATAGCAAACTGTAGTTCTTGCATATGTAGAGCTACCCTCTATTTGACGGTTCGTTCCAAAATTTGGCCTGTAAAGTGTGTCTTTTATTTCCATGAGGCATGAGGAAGGACAACTTCATGTGCAAATGTTCTGCAAAGTTCTGACTTAATCGCTGTTGGAAGTAAATGTATCAGCAAAGGCCTTTACAACTCTTTTTCTCTTTTCTTGTGTTCTGACTCCACGCTTTCAGGAACACTAGCTATGTATGTGCCTATTTTTCTTCCTCTTAACTGCATTAACTAGAATTCCTTTCTATATCTCCTAATCCAGATCTGCTCCAATATTTTTCAATTAATGGGAATCAATCTGGCATTTAACCCACTCTCAGATAATCAAAATTCTGCATGCAATGTAAAAATTTCATAGGAGTCAGGGGCTGGTGGAGTGGCTCAAGTGGAGAGTACCTGCCTAGTAAGTGTGAGGCCCTGAGTTCAAACACCAATTACCCCCTTCCCCCCCCAAAAAATCATAGAAGTCTTTCCAAAGACTCAAAGTTTTATTTACAAAACATACAGCTGCAATTACTGAGAAGACACTTGGGGGTAGGCTCTTTTTTAATTCCTCCTTTGTTATGTAATTGCTTCTGAAACTAATTTTGTTTCCTTTCTTACTGAAATGTAATTTCTTACAGTAGTATATTATGTAAAGAAAAGATCTCAGGGAACTATGAACATCTGGAATCACTCAAGTTAATTAGTGATTAATTTGTGCATAACAGATTGTGCACAAATTTCAGGGACAGAATTTTTATAAATTTTGAATTTTGAATGCAAATGGTATATAAGTTATAAGCATATGTCACAGCCTAATAACAAGATTTTCTAAAAGTCCCAAAGTTTCCTGCTAAAATTAATGCATTTTAATATTGTCATGTATGAAAAAGGCAACTCATATGATATCAATAACCTCAAAGGGATCAATTCTAAACTACAAGTAAGCAGTCTTGCTTTGCCCAACTACATCTAATTCTGCCTTGACAACATTTCTATCTTGTTAATATAGTGGAAAAGACAAAGATTAAAGGCACTAATTTGGGCTGGCAGAGTGGCTCAGTGGTAGAGTGCCTCCCTAGCAAGCATGAGGGCCTGAGTCCTGAAGGAAAAAAAAAAGTGAAAAAAGCAACTTTTATTAGTTTCATAGAAATACAGATGAAAACTATGAAAAAGTTTCTGACAGACTCTTAGGGCAATTACTATTTTTGTCCAAGTAATTTTTACAGAAAAAATTCTAAAGTAACATAATCTTAAAATATTCTTCAGGGCTGAGCATGATGGCAGGAACTCAGGAGGCTGAGGCAGGAGATAGTGAGTTTGAGGCCAGCCTGAGCTACATACTGAGGCCCTGTCTCAAAATTCAGAAAACCAACCAACAAACTAATAGTAGCCTCCAGTACTCAGAAAAACAGCTACACACTGCTGAAGACTGGAAGTGAGAGGAGATGGGCAGGGACTTACAGAGTATTTCTAACACAATACCTATTAAATATTCAGGAACATATGCAATTCTAGTATATTCTAACTACCTAAGAAACTGCCAATGTTGCTTACTCAAAGCATTCTTTTTTCTATCTTTAAGCACTTTAAGGCCCATTATTAAAAATACCAATGTGTACTTTGTGAGATAAAGTAAAAATCAGATGAAAAGGAAGAGAGCTAAAGCAATTTTATTCAGAAAGGACCTTGATTTCACCAACAGAAATATGCACTTCTATGTTAGACAACTTCAAACACTTAAGTAAATCACGATTTTTGTTGAGATTTTGGAAACAGTTTCAGCCTTAACCATCAAAAATGATACCATTTCCTTCTCTTCAGTATCTGGGAACCGCATAGGAGCCTCTTAGTATGTTTGACTTTTTCCCAAAGAAGTAAGTTAAGCAAGCAGCTGTTTCAACTCCTGCTGGTTCACAGGACTGTCAAAGTCCTGGAAGATTTCAAGGGAAGGTACTTACTCTTGTAGAAAGAGAAGTCATATGCCTCAGCTTCCCTTCCTTTTTGCCTAGCAGCACCATGCTGCTTTCTTTGAGGTCATGTGTAGACAAAAAAAGTTTGAATAGTACTATTTTCTTATGTCCTCCACCTCCTAAAATTCTTCCAGATATTCTTGTTTTGTTTTAAAACAATTCTGAAGGATTTGAATAATATGTTTAATCTTTCTTATTTGAACCTCTTAAATTCTGAGTTGTCCCCTCTACCTTAAAGTGGTTACTTTAAAACGAACCATTTAAAATAGCAACTTGAAATCTCATGTATAAAAGGAAAATGTCTACATTACTTACTTCTGAGCAGAGTGAGCATCATCTGCTTTGAATAAATAAAATAACATGTTTTTGTGCAGTAACTGAAATACTTTAGACTCTGAGTTCTCATCTTTGACTTGAGCAACAGTGAATCCTAGTAAAGGTTGACTCTCCAAAGCTGCCACATCCTAGTTTGAAGGTACACAAATGAAGATGGGCTCTTAGATTGAGACACATTTCAGATTCGAAAATTCTTCATCTATTTATAGCACTAATTTAATTTCATATACACATATACAAAACAATAATTCTAATGAGTTAGTTTTCATTTATTCAACAATATTTACTGAACCACCTGCTCCCCATCTGCCGGACACTATGCTAGGCAATTTTCAACATGTTTACATCTATTAAATTTCACATTATTTTTTACTATAGCCAAGAAAAGTAGGTCATTATATTATCTTCATTATATGAATGGAAAAAACACAGCTCAGAAAGTTAAGTGATTTAACCAGATCCAAGGAACCAGCAATAGCTGGAAACTTTACAACCCAAAGGAAGCTTATTTGATCTATGCTGATGTGTGATCAATACAATCTGGGGACAGTTTGGAGGGAATATCACCCAAGAGCTTGGCAGAAAGGCTAAGAAGTAGTAGTCACATGTCACCAAAAAGATATGTACTTCAATTCTATGAGAAATTCCTAACACACAAGTAGGAGGCCTCTAGGAACAAAGCAAGAACACCTTTACATTAAAAATACCAGTGACAACACCTCCCCACTCTAAAAGCAAAGCAACAAGGGGCTGGGGTGTAGCTCAGCACTAGAGTACCGCCTAGTAGGCCCAAGACCTGGGTTCATCCCTGGCACTGAAAAAAAAAAAAAAAAAACAGCATTAAAACAAAACCCCTAAATTACTCATCTTACCTCACTTGCAGCATATGTATATAGTACTTTATTTTTTATGACAAACCAAAAGTGTTTCCATGGTTTTTTATTGCCTTTTGATCTGTACAAGTAACCACTCATAGAAGAATCTTCTGTGTTTGCTGATACCTAGATAAGGGAAGCCCCACATATAGTTTAGTGATTTTCAGGCAAATTTTAAATAGCAACAAAGCTACTTGCAGTCATCAGATGTTGAAAGCAACAGAGTATTTCAGCATGAAATTGGGTATTTTCAAGGTCTGCTATAATACAATTTGCATACTGCTATAAATATGATCATAAAAACCCTTTCTTTTAGAAGCAATTCAGAATTTTACCTGTTTTAACTGTGTTGCATGTGTTTGTGCATGTGTGGTTTTGTGTGTGTGTGTGTGAGGGTGAGTTCATCTGTTTTCTGGTTTGATAGAAGAAAAATAATAAAAATGCTTCTCTAAAGCTGCATTTTGAGGACTGTGTATTGACTATAGCATCACTTACTTTTCAGGTGTTGGGGAAAATTACTTAAACCTTTAATTCTGTGTCTGAAATAACTTTTTGGATCTCTAAAATCCATTCAACAGAGTAGTAAGCAGAAAATTGTATTTTGTGTATGTGTGTTTGTTTGAGACAGTGTTTCATTATAAGGCTCAGATTGGCCTCAAATTCAAGATCCTCTTTCCTCATTATATTATTACAACATTACACCATGCACTGCACCAGGCCTGGCCTAAGAAATTCTACTATTGATGGGGTGTTTGTAAAGACCAGTCTTTGCTCCCTGAATTTTGGCCTAAAAGAAAAGCTAGTTTTTGCTTCATAAAAAGTTGAAAATGTTTTCATCTTCATACAAAAAGTAAACTCTTAATGATTATAATCTGGCAACTCAAGTTTTTTTTAATGCAGAAATAACAGATATTTTTAAAAATCAAGTTTAGGTCCCGCCCTATTAGTAGTGCAATAGAACTCTTAAGGTGGTGTCTGTGATCTTCCCATGACCCTTGCCTCACAGTTATGCTGTATTCTACAACTCCCCTTGAGCATGCACAGGACCTGGGACTTGAATCTTGCTAAGAGAGCATGGTGAAGGTGATGGCATCAGACCCACGATTATGCTGCGTTATATAAGGCTCCATCTTTTACAAAGACTGGTTGTAGACTTTCTCTTGCAGCTATGTTGGGAGGTTCTCATGGCAAGGAGCCAGTAAGAAGCTAGGGCCCTCAATCTGACAATGAAATTAATTCTGCCCAAAACCTTTGAAACAATCTTTCCACAGTTGAATCTACAGATAAGTTAGTACTGGCCGAAACCTTGATTATAGCCCTGCAGAAGTCACAGCTAAAACATACCTGGAATACTAAGACAATAAATGAGTCTTTTTTTAAGCCACTAACTTTGTGGTAACTTGTTATGCAGTAATGAAAAACTAATATAGGTGAACTCTGTGATGATGATAACGATGATGACAGATTGAACCCAGGGACTTGATAGGCTGAGATACATCCCCATGTCTATGAATTTTAAGTGTAAAAATGTAAAAGTGTAAAAAATGTAAAAGTGTAAAAGTGTATCTTGGGGCTAGGGACTTAGCTTAGTGGTAGAGCTCTTGCCCTGTGTTTAATCCCCAGCACTGTAAAAGAACAACAACAAAGTGCATCTTTATCATGTATTTATTAATGAGTTGTACTAACTTCTTATAATTTCATGGAAAGGAATATATTGTTTAGTAGAAAATTTATGTTGTTTAGTAGAAGTATTTGGTGAGTAAAAGTGGGACCCCAGAATGTCTAATAAGCTCTTCAGTGATACTATTGGTATGGTGGGCACTTTGAGAACCAGAAGGCTAAAGGAAGAAATACGTGCAATCAGGAGGCAGAGGCTGAGGTACAAGGCCTGTTTGTGTGGGCGGGTGAAAAGATGTATGAAACAGGATTGCGGTTAGACAGAATCTAGTCTAGACTATTGGCAGTTATACAACCAGTGCTCAGGAGTTTCAACTGAAGAGGAGACCAAATGGAAAAAATTACATGTAGAAAACTAGCATCAGAGTATGGAGGTGAAAAATTACCGAGTGAGACTAGGTAAATTCCGAGTGGAGCAAAAACCTCAAAGTTGGTATTATTCTATAAGAGACAAGTCTTGCTATGTTGCCCAGCAAGGGCCTGGAATACTAGGCTAAAGTGATCCTCCTGCTTGGCAGGGACCTCAAAGTTATGAATGCACATTTAGATTCAGAAAATGAGGGATCAAAGAGATAGTTGAGAGGTATTTTTTAAATTGGCGTAACCAGTTTTATATAAAACCTGGTAATTGGAACTTAGATTCTACTCTTACTATTCCATGAGATTGGCTATAAACCACTTCATATTACTTCACCTAGGAATATACTCTTACTTTTACATAAGAAACATGATCTTGGTCAAATTTTTAGTGTCATTTGATAGAACACCTCAAAAGTAACCAAGGAAGAGAATCAAAAAACCTGTGCAGAGTTGGGCATGGTTGTGTAAACTTATAGTTTTAGCTACTCAGGAAGTCGAGACAGGAGGATCCTTTGAGCACAGAAGCTTAGGGCCAGACTGGGCAACATAGTAAGACTCCATTTCAAAACAAACAAACAAACAACAACAAATGAACAAACAAAACAAAAACACCCTACTCTGCTGTCCACAAAATCAGCAAAGGAAGAACTAATCAATAATCATCATGGGGCATCCAGGATGACAATGGCATTTGCTCTCTGACACTTAGTGACACTTAAACTTGAGGAACTGGGAGAGGATATCAACGATACCTGTGATTATGCTATTGGCAAGTCTAAACATGCAGGTTATTATCACTATTTAAAAATTTAAAAGAAACACAACCTACTGATACCTCCTATACATAACCAACCAATACCTACAACTATGCACACCAGTAAATACAAAAGAAATGGCTGAAATTATTCTATGCATTTCTTCCCTTGGTAAGGAGCTGCCTTGAAGTACTTTTTAAAAATTCATGTGTGTCCAACTTTACCTTCTATCATTACTACAAAATGTTCTTCAATCCTTTCAGCAGTCATTTTCTAAATGACTCAGATCTTAAGGGAGACCAAGCAAGACTGCAAGTCATCAGCTGTATCCACTACCAATATTAAAACACATATTCTAATAGTAATGGGAAATGACATTTTCCTTTATGAAAGAAAAACAGTGTATAATATCCATATGAATAATTCAGCCTCTAGCACATTGCAAGTTTTATGGAAACACTTACTTCTTTCAGAGCAGCTGGGATTTTTTTCTGTTTCCTCCCAGATGGGATACTATGTAAGACTGATGATAAAGCACTTGAAGACTTGTGATTTCCAGGACATCCAATCCTAGAGGAGTGCTGGTGATCTAAAACAAATCAGGCACAATCATGTAGTCAATGGTAAGCATTCTGCATTACAACTTAATTCAGTTTCATGAACGTGTGCACAAAATATCCATGGAAAGACACTCAAGACATTGATGATACTTAAAGAAAAAAGGGAGGATGGGAAGAAAAAGGAAAAAGGCCAGGCATGGTGGCTCACAACAGTAATCATAGCTACTTGGGAGGCAGAAATCAGAAGGGAAAGGAGGGAGGGAGGGAAAGAAATAAAAGAAAAAGGCTGGGCATGGTGGCTCACACCTATAATCATAGCTAAATAGGAGGCAGAGATCAGGAGAGTCAAGGCTCAAGGCCAACCCAGACATGAGACTCCATCTCAAGCAATAAAAGCAGGTGTGGTGGCTCACATCTGTTATCCCAGCTACACATAAATAGGAGGATTGCTGTTCAGGCTAGACTGGACATAACTGACAAAAAATAATGAAAGCAAAAAGGGCCAGGGAAGTGGCTCAAATGGTAGAGTGCCTGCCTAGCAAGCATAAGGCTCTGAGTTCAAAGCCCAGTACTATCAAATAAAAAAAAAAATGAAAAGAAAATGGTGCTTCTCAGGAAATGAAGATGGATGGATAGGAGTTGAGTGGTAGGAAGACTTTTCACTATGTAAGAGTTTATATTTTTGAGCTATAAACAATGTGGAAGATAACTTTTTTGTGCCTTTAGAATTCTGAAACATGAATATGCTACCAACTTAAAAAAAATCTTCCCTGACTTAAAAATCTTACATTGTTTTGTATCTAGATAGCAGACCAAATAATAACATCACTATGAACAAAGTACTTGGAAGAGGCAATGGACACAGATGAAGAAGTAATCATCTGACTTCAAGCGGTTCAGGGAGCCAGCGCCGGTGGCTCATGCCTGTAATCCTAGCTACTCAGGAGGCAGAGATCAGGAGGATCATGGTTCGAAGCCAGCCCCAGGCAATTAATTCCATGAGACCCTATCTCGAAAATACCTAACATAAAAAAGGGATGGTGGAGTGGCTCAAAGTGTAGGCCATGAGTTCAGGCCCCAGTACCAAAAAAAAAAAAAAAGAGGTTCAGGGAATATGAAGACAAGAAGGTGTTTACGTTGGCCAGTAATGCATAAGGATGACTTTGCCAGGTAAAAAAGGCAGAACAGTACACACAAAGAGGGTGATGTGAACAATGACTGTCAGGTATTAAACTGGAGCATTTACTTAGAGAATAATGAAGGTAGAAAATAAAGTGGTGTGGGGGACTGGCTTTAAGGAGCCTGGAATGCTGTTTAGGCTCATTTTGCTGGGGAGTAATATGAACAGAATGTGTTTAGAAAAATAAATCTGGCAGTAGCAAGGTAGAGGGGCTTGCAGCAAGAAAACCCACTAGGAAATAATTATAGTAATCTACATCTTATCAGGGTTGAGGTGGAGAAATTACGACAAAGAGATACTTTCTAACATAAAATTGGCACGCTTTACTGACCAAATAGGCTGGGTAATGAGAGAGGAAGATTCAAAGATAAAATGTGATTGTCTGCAGTTTATACTATGTACCTCGGAGAATGATGGAATAAATGGATGTTTCTTCTTGAAAAATGTACAGGCAAAAACAGACTACTAATCTACAGATCAATCCAAGCAACTAGACTTAGGCCAACAAAGTACCCTCTCATATGTGTCTAAACAGAATTACTTTACATAGATAAAAATGATCTATAATGAGCATACTATTGGGGGAAACTAGAAACTCCAAAATAACTTGCAAGTTTAAGTTCCCTTTAATCAGTTTATAAATTTATTCTGTAATTACATTTCTACATTAGTTTTCTTAGTGAAACTTTCTCCTAGAGTAAAAACAACTTTCAGTCCAATTCCTCTTGGAATGGCAACAAATCATGAGTTAAGAGGGCTTAGTATTAACTTAGAGACAAGTATCAATAGTCATTGCTAAAGTACCAAAGATGATTCTTTGAGAAGGCTGATGAAAGCACCTAGGGAAGAAAAGAATTTTTGGTTAAATCTTTACTTATACATTACCTAATTTCTGCAGTTCTTGGAAACAATGTTCACATACTCTTGCTGGCTGGTTTTTCAGGTAATCTAACCCATACTTATTTGATGAACAAGCTTGGCATACAATCTAAGAAAACATTAATTATTTCATTTAGAATTACTTTTGTTCCCAAATCATAAAGCAGGTCACAGTTTATAGCACTGCCTAATTTTCAAAACAGGTTCATAGTCACTGAGTTATAGTCTCATGGAGTTCAGTCATGTAATGAACTAACATACAATACCACATTTGAACAATAAAGAGGACACAGATAATCACCAAGTCCTTGCTACAGAAAATAATTTAATGTATGCATAGTGCTTAAAATAGTGCCTAGCATGCAGTACATTCTGTTAGCTGTATTGACAATCATCACCATAATTATCACTGCTATCACAATGATCACTTCTCTGCTCCTCTGCCAAGTTTATGGCTCTGTACTAAATGCTATCTAAACTGGACCTTGTTTAATCTTTAGAGCAACTTCCAGTCATTGTTACTATGCTCATTTTATTAATGAGGTCATGAATGCTTATACTTTAGTTTGGATCTGGAATGTGCCCCAAAGGCTTGATCCCCAGCTTGGCCCTACTGGGAGATGGGGAAACTTTTAACAGGTGGGGCCTAGTGGGAGACTTTATGTCATTAGAGGCATTCCTTTGGAGGGGACTGTGGGACCACCAACTCTTCCTCTTTTTCATTTCTGTCCACAAGATGAACAGCTTTGCCTGCCACATGCTCCCGCCATGATGTGCTACCATAGGCCCAAATCAACAGGGTTAATCAGTCATAAACTGAGACCTCCAAACTGTGAGCCACAGTAAAACTTTTCTCTTTATAAGCTGATTTATCTCAAGTATTTTTTATATCAATGGAAAGTCGACTAACACTAATATGAACACTAGCCTTTTCTTAACAAATTATTTTATAGATGGGGTGGTTTAAATAATTAGTTGTAAATGTAAGGATCAATTTAACTGTGGATTTATTAGTTTGTGTTTTTGAAAACTATCTATTACTGACATATTAAAGTAACTCTGGGGAAGGAGGAGAGAAGTTCCCTAACAAGATTCATCTCTCTCCTTTCCCTAAACATTTAGAGAAGACAAGATTGTGTTTTCCTCCCACCATTATGCTGTTTTTCTGTTTTGTTTTGTTTGCTACAGTGGTTATTGTACTGTGTACAGCCTGGGTCATAGAAATCACAATAGAGATGGTTGCTTCTCCTCCTGACCTTTCCGCAGGCCCGGCAGTGGTGCCGTCTCCAGGTCAGAGTAAATTCACTGGTGCAGATCATACACATCGTGGCTCTGGTATCAGGAATCCAGATGGGAGCCTTTGACCCAAGTGGACTGGATTCCTCTTTATTTTCTGCGTCTGCCTGCAGAAGAAGAATGACTTGTGATTACTTCCACACACTCCACCTGCGACAGAATCAAGCCTTTGTAGTTAGTGGTGCAGATGGCATCATTAAGGATGTGGTAGGGCTATTATAATCTTTATGTTCTCAGGATATTAAGATGAGCTACATTTTAAAAATCTTCTCCTGCAAAACTAACTTTAAATGATGCTTGTGGTAGTAGATGATACCTGATTCAGTTCTTCCTTAAACTATCTTCCTTGAACTTTCTAAATATCCTACAATGGGGGCTTGGTATATACGATGGAGGGAGAGCACACGCGAAGCATGAGCGAGGCCCTGGGTTCAACACCCAGCATGATACACATACAAATAAGTAAATATACAAATTTCCTACTGTGAAGTTTTATAACTAGGAAAAATATGGGAGCGCTATATGCTGTCATAGACTTGAAGTTAGCTATTAATAGATGGAAAAACACTTAACTCTGAAATTAGACACATGCATCCTCCAATCCTTCATTGAAACATGTTGCTTTTCTAAACCCCTGTGAAATGGTTCTTTAGAATTAAAAAAAAAAAAAAAACTTTGAAATGCACTGGAAAAAAAAAGTAGGAAAAGACAATACCTCATCAAGACTCCTACTATGACAGAAGGTGATTTTTTTCTTGGCATACTCTTCTATTGACCTGGAAATTGCCTCTAGCCATTCATCCCTTTCTGTGGCAGAACTGTTGGAGGCAAAAGAAGGTTCTGTCAACCAGATGTATGCTTTGACTCTTTGCCCTTTTGTTACTTCTTTGCCTTCTCCCATGGCAACTAATTCCACCTCTTCCAATACTCCTAGTCTAAAGCAGCAACTATGAGGTTTATGTGAACGAACAAAGAGCATTTTGGCAAGTATGATGCTGTTTTCTTTCTAAAAGTACGGGTTTACATAAACTTTGAAGTCTAATGTCAGAAATATTTTTGTTAACCAGGGATATTTGTATGATTAATAATTGTATTTCCATAATCAAGGAGTTTCCTGAGATATAATTCTATAATTTAAAAACATTCCAACAACCAAATTTCAAATACGATTTATAGTACAGAATCCTAAATATCTTTAGATTACTAAATATTACTAAAGATTTTTTGAGCATATTGTGGTGCACACCTGTAATGCCAACACGTGGGAAGGTAAGGTAAGAGGACTGTGAGTTGGAACCAGGTTAGGTTGCATAGTAAGATTCTGTCTCAAACAATCAAACAAAAACACAAAATTCTAAAGAGGACAGTGAGGTGAAGGGAAATTATTTTTAATATCATAAGATAGATGTTAAAAAGAGTGGTTAGTGAGGGAAATTGGCTGTGATTGTTATGAGGGCTCCTCTACTATCTTTAGCCCACCAAGTTTTAGGCTCCTATCCCCAGTTCATGGGAACTACCGTTATTTCAACTCTAATGGGAATGGGCCAAATAAAAGGGAAATCCTGTCCACAAAAGGGTAATATAGAATACTGTATTTTTATAACCACATCTCTCCCCCAAACCACATAGTAACTCCTAATCATCACCGGTATCATGACATTTATGAAGCCATTTTAAAAAACTTTTGCCAGGTGTGCTGGTCATGCCTATAATTCTAGCTACCCATGGGCAGGAACTGGGAGGACAAAGGTTTGAGGCCAGCCCAGGCAAAAAGTCTGTAAGAACCCATCTCAACCAATAAAAAGCTGGGTGTGGTGATGCATGCCTGTTTTCCCAGCTACATAGGAAATGTAAATAGGAGGATGGTGGTCCAGGCCAAACTGGGCATAGACACCAGACCCTATCTCAAAGACTACAGAAGTAAATAAAGGGCTAGGGTGTGGCTCAAGTGCTGGAGTGCCTGCCTAGCAAGCACAAGGCCCTGAGTGTACCCCAGTACACCCATCCCTCCCAAAATCCTTTGTTTTGCATATTCAAAACAGAGAGGCATGTTAGGTAATATAAATAAGTGTATATATATATCTACACATGGAGAGGGAGAGGGAATGAGAAAGAAGAGAGATTTTAACAATCACTTTAAACCATCATAGTTGAGCACTTGATGGCTTGTACCTGTAATCCTAGCCAGTTGGGAAGCTGAGATTGGGAGGCTTGTGGTCCCAGACCAGCCTGCAAATGAGAGACCCCATCTCGACAGAAAAAAAGCTGGGTATGGTGGCATGCACCTGTCATCCCAGCTATGGTGGGAAGCCTAAAATAGAAGGCTCACAATCCAGGCCAGCCTGGGTAAAAAGGTGAGACTCTATCTCAAAAATAATCAGCAAAAAGGGCTGGCAGTAAGGTTCAAGTGGTAGAGCACTTGCCTCTTAAGCTTAAAGCCTTGAGTTCTAACCCAGCAATAACAAAATAAGCAAAAAAACCCAAAACAAAACAAAACAAAAAAACCTCCAGCAAAATGAAATAAAATCCACCATAATGGGGCTGTAATTTGTAAGAAAATGTCTGTATTTTTAGAGAGTAATACAGAAGTATGTAGGAGTAAAATGACATGGTAGCTGCAATTTGTTTTAAAACACTTTACAAAATTGTAAAGCAAGAAAAACTGGTAGCATAGATTTGATGACTTTTGCATCTGGGTAATTGAATATGCAGTTCATTGTATTATTCACTCAAATTTCAAGTTAAAAAAATTTTCATTATAGGAAAACAAGACAAAAGAACAAAAATATCCATCACAAATAATTGTACATATAGGCACAGTTGTGAGGATCTTCTTGTTGCTTTTTTTCTTTTTTTTAAATGATGGGATTGAACCCAGGGCTCAAGCATGCAAGACACGTGATAAAGCATGCTTTATCACTAAGTCACATCTCCAGCCCTCTTGCTGTATTTTGAAGAGCACAAAGCAGTTCAAGATACTAAAAATCACTTGCATGTCCCACAGTAATCATTCCCAGACATGTACCTTCCTACTAAGTGGCTTTGAGAACCATTTAGAATATTCACTGATATGGGTATAAAAAGGTAGAAATCTGGTTTACAAATTAAAAACTAATATATTTCCCAAATTGAAAAATACAAAGAACAAAACAACAAACAACCCCTTTCTCTCTAAACCAAATAAAACCTGCCTCACCTAACTTCTACTATTTTAGCATTACTGGCAAAACTAGCTACCATTTAATAGTTAGAACATGTCAGCCAATAGTGTTAAATGCTTCCCCAGTGTCATCATGTGTCATCCTCAGAGCCATCCAGTGTATACATTGGATCGTATTACCACCGCCCAAGTACCACAGCATCACCAGCCATCATCACCATGTACAGGTAAGGAAAATTAAGGATTAGCAATGGTAGATGAATGGCTTTATGGACAACAGGCTACCAAGTCATGAGATGGGATCAGACACAAGTATAGTTAGGCACTGAACCCTTCACCACCAGGTTTGCCAACTGGTTTGTGCTCTTTGAAGAACTACACTATGAAAAGGAAAAAAAAAACAAAACTACACTATGGGAACACACACTCAGGCTTCAAAGCAAACATTCAAGAAATATTACCAGCTTTCCCTCCCTCCCACTTTTTACTGGAAGAAGTTACAGAAAGCAGAGAGGCAGATGGCTAATTTGAGAATTGCTGTTGAATTTTTTTGGAGCCCTGGGAGCATGTGGAATGTGATCTGACTGTGCAAATCATGTCACATTTGCTTTTCTTTCATTTAATCCTTCCTGGCTCTCTCTTGTGCAGGGTTCTGCCAAGACAATGTTTACCAGCTCTTGATAACACATTTCTCACAGACCACACACATTTGCCCACAGCATCTAGTAGAGACATTCAGGTCTCCCTTGTAACATGATTGGCAGAAGCACCAGTACCTTTCTTGGAGTGAAAAACAGGCCAAGTATTCTTTTTCCTTATTAAATGTGTACCTTATCAGAATACAAATTTATGTCAGGTAAGTCCCATTTTCCAATGGATGGGGATGAATTAACAAATGAGAAAACCCCTCCACTCAAAGAGATTTCTGGTGTGTTAGACCTTGTCATATCTCTTCTTGTGCTGACTGTGGGATGCTACTCTGAGGTTCAAAGGACACATCAGTTAACCCATTTGAGATTACTAAGGACCAGGAACTAAGCCATAAACTGGGCACACATAATACATTACACTTGTAAGGATTCACTTCTAGTTGAGGTGAAAAACTAATTAACATATGATGTAACAAGTGTAAGGCAGATAAATTACATAGGAGTATATGACCTTATTTAGGTGGCAGGGAAGGCTTGCAGAAGTGCTGAGGACTTGAGTTAGGACTTAGAGAATTACAGGAGTTTCACAAGGAACTGCAGTCTCTATGCACCCTCATTCACTCTCCTAGCTTTGCTCACCTCCAAGCTGATGATGCCCACATATGTGTATGTGTGTATATACATATATATCTTGCCCAGGCTTCCTTCTGATATCCAGATCCTTGCCTAAACTGCTCCAGTGGCTCCATGCTGGCATTCCTCATATTCAGTATACATTTCTGAAACTCAAACCCTGACTTCTCACCCAACTCCTCACAGCACCCCCACCCCATACATACATTATACCAGCTGGAAACTCTAGGTGCATAACCCCTTTCTTCCATCTCCTGTGTCCAAGTAATCACCTCCTTCCCAAATGATATTCTATACAGTGGTAAGATATTCTGATCATATCAGTGGCTTCCTGTGGCTTTTAAGTGAGACACCAAATTCTACAAGGTAGTTCTAGACACCTGTCCCTCTGGCTTATTTTGGGTCACACTGACTCTCATTCTCCAGCTCTTGCCTCACTGGTCTTTCAGTTCTTTGAATATGTCATGCATCTTTCCACTTCAGGATCTGGGTTCTCATCATCTGTATTGACCAGTTCATGTTTGCCTAGGTATTCAACTTAGCCTTCATAAGTCAGTATACACAGCAGGCTTAGGGCCTATCCTGATGTCCTCTTTCCCCCAAATCTAGTTCAAGGTCCCTTGTTTTACAGCCTCATAGCAATTAGTACTATTTCTGAGTGCACTTAGTCACAATAATATGTATCTGTGATGGTATTTGTGAAGTGTATGTTTTCTCTAATGGAATGTAAGCTCAGTGAAGGAAGGGACTTGAAAATTATCCACTGTATCCCAAAACCCAGCACAATGCCTTGCCCAGGGTAAAGGCTCCATATCACTTAGTGAACAAAGGGATGAATTCCAGGTGGGGTAGTCACTTGTACAAAACAGAAAGATGCAGAGTAGGATGGCATGCATGGAGACTCATAAGCTTTGAAGCCAAGAATTGACTCCTCTCTAGCTATGAAACTCCTAGGTGTCATCTTCTTCCAATAGGTGCTGGCCTGCCTGCCTGGCAAGCATGAGGCCCTGACTTCAAGTCCCAGGACAGCTGGAAAAAAAAGGAAATGAAGGAAGGGAGGAAGGAAAAGAAAAGGAGGGAGAGACTGAGGGAGGGAGGGAAGGAGAAAGGGGAAATCTGTTTGGTATAGTCAGCTGCATCAATTATATCTCAGCTACACTTTCTGGATAATTTGCTGTAGCTTCCAATCAGTGTTTGCTGCTTCATTTTGTACTTGTATTATATGGAGGTGGCTTTCTCAAACCTCTCAAACCAAACTCTGCTGGCTTCACATTCTTCTGCTGCACCTTCCTTACCGCTCAGCCTTCATAGAATTGAAGAGATTTAGGACCTGACTCTGGATTAGGCTTTTTCCTTATCAATAGTAAAGCTACTTCACTTTATTATTCATGGGTTTACTGGAGTAGCACTTGTAATTTCCTCCAAGAATTTTGCATTCACAACTTGGTTAACAAGAAGCCTGGTTTTCAGTGTATCTTAGCTGTCAACATGCCTTCCTAATTGAGCTTGATCATGTCTAGCTTTTGATTTAAAATGAGATATGTGTGACTTCCTTTTACTTGAACACTTACAGGCCATTGTAGAGTTGTTAAATGGTGCACGTACAATATTGTTGTGCCTCAGAGACTAGGGAGGTCCATGTAGAGAGAGAAATATGGGGGAATGGCCAGCTGGTGGAGTAGTCACTCATAAAGGCTGGGGATGGAGCTCAGTGGTAGAGTGCTTGCCTAGCATGCACAAGGTCCTGGGTTTGAACCCTAGCACCATATGAATAAATAAATTAATTTAAAAAGAACACATACAACATTTATCAAGTAAATTCACTGAATTATACAGGCATGTCCATGGTACCACAAAACAATCTAGGATTAACATCACTGATTATTTATTACAGATCACCATAACAGATATAATAATGATAAATAATTAACATAGTGGGAGAATTACTGAAATGTGACATAGACACAAAGTGAGCACACACTGTTGGAAAAATGGTACTGATAGACTTGCTTTATGTAGAGTTGCCACAAACCTTCAATATACAGAAATGCATTATCTGCAGAATGCAGTAAAGTGAAGTGCAGGAAAACAAGGTATGGTGTCTATGAGCCACACAACTTCCTGCAGTGCTGGATTTACATTATGGTAAACATTTTGATTTACACATGAGCACTATAAGTGACACTTTGAGGTAATGTGGATTATAAAAAAAACAATGGATTTTTGTTTGTTTATTTGTTTGAAGGCAGAGTCTCACTCTATAATCCAGGCTGGCCTGGACTTGCTCTGTAGCTCAAGCTGTTCTAGAAGTCAGAACAGGAGCCTCAGGCTCCTGAGTGTTGGGATTACAGGCATGTACTCTAACAATGGATTTAAAAGCCAAAGACCTTGGTTTGTATCCTGGCTTTGCTAGCTATATTCTTAAAAAAGTAACTCAACTTTTCTGTAACTCAGTTTCCTTATTTTTAGCATGAGAAGATAGCTACCCCATAGGTTTGCTATGACCTTTAAATGATATGTGAAAACTTCCTAGTAAACAATAAAGCACTAATTGTTTGTCAACATGTTATGTTCTATTATATGAAAATTTGAAATATTCACTTTATTTTCTCTTTTTTTATTAGTATTCATTAATTGTACAAGGGGGTTTCACCATAGGATTTCCCTACATGAATATAATGTACTTTGATAAATTCACACTAATATTCTTTTTTATCCTGCCTCCTGAAATATTCATTTAAAAAAAATAATCAGCAAAGCACTTTTCAGCATTTTTATTCTATCTAGAGGACAATTTTGATTTTTGTGCTTCTGCGCACTGTTGTACCAGTTCTTAAGTCATTTACTTGAATTAAAAAAAAAAAAACAGTAAAGTTTGGGTAAAAAATTTTAGGAAAGAAAAGGAGGAAATGAAAAGTCTAGAGTTAACCTAACTGCTACAGCTATGTGACCCCTTTACACTGGCAAAATTAGTCTATACATATTTTCTTAAGATAATTTACCTGGCTGAGAGGATGAAGGAACGTTCGACACTTTCGATCTTTAATTCATTCTGATATGCTTCTTGGGTGGGTTTTCTGACCTGGAAGAAACAACCGTTTGAGCAAACTTATCCTTTGCAAATCCCATCTCTGAACCACAGCTGAAGTTGCCCAATGTCCCTGGCTTCAAGTATCCATGACCAACCTTCTCATTCAACTTTATGGGTTACTTTTCTGTCATCGACTCTATGTCACAGATGAATTTAAATACCCATCTGCAGGCCCAATTTTCCCACCTCCAGACCATGAGTCAAAATATTCCCTCTACCCAGAATGCCTTTCCTCAATATGTTGGCCTGGCCAACACTTTGAGGCTCACCAGCCCTTCCTCCAAAGACTTACCTGACTCCCTCTTCTAACTATCTATCAAAAGCTGCATGTTAGTCCTTTCTCCACACCCATCAAAAGCTCTGTGTTCTTTTTTTTTTTTTGGCAGTACTGGGATTTCAACTTGGCCTTGTGTTGCAAAGCAGGCACTGTATCACTTCAGCTATGCCACCAACCCATCTTTCAAACTCTTAAAAAACTTCTTTTTGCTGGACTCAGTAGGGCCCACCTGTAATCACAATACCTGGGAGATGGAGGCATGAAGATTGCAGGTTCAAGGCCAGCCTGGACTATATAGTAAGACCATGTCTCAAAGAAATACCTACTTTTCTCTTTTTTTTTTTTTGAGATGAGGGTTTTACTATGTTGCCCAGTCTAACCCTTGAGCCCTGGGCCTCAAATGATCCTCTTCCTCCTGATTAGATGGGATTATATATATGTACCACCATGCCCAGCTCTGAACTCCTAAAAACTTGAATTGTGCCTTTATAGTGATATTTATTACTGTCTACTCTATGGGTATTATGTGTAGTGTCTTATCTTTCCAATTAATTTCTAAGTCTCAGGGTGTGGGGAAATTGGGGTAGAGGCAGAGACAAAAAGAATCACATTTCAACTCATCCTCATAATTTCCACCAAACCTATTACTAAGTTTTACTTATAGTTATTCTCAATAAATATTCTATGAATAAATTAATAAATGAGTGAACAAATGACATGAATAAATAAATGAATGCATGAATAGTAACATAGAAAGAAAGACATGTTAGGGATTCTTCTTTGCATATATAAATGTTTGGGTTTAAAAAAAAAAAAAACACAAAAATTTTAATAGACACACCGACCTTCATTCCAGCCAATGAGAGCATGTTGTTCAGTTTATATATCCCAGACTGCACAGGTGTTGTATACAGTAGGGCGTCATTAAACTAAAAACAGAAACGTTTCAGAGCAAATTACAGAAATGAATTGCAGCTACAAAGATATCAGTAACATACAAGAATAAAGGAAAAATAATACTTCTTTGCTAACAGCTCCTGAATAAAAATGTCTACTTATATATACCAGAACCACCTACAATGTCTTATTAAAATTTTATTAAAAAGCCAATCTCTAGAAAACATGCTCCCTTTCCAAGTTCTGTAATAGATTTAATTATTTCTGAATTCTAAGTCCTACAGAAGTATTACAAAATGCTAAATAAGTAAATAATTAAGACAATGCTCCCAAGTTAGAAACAAAATTTTGAAATGCAAGTGATACAGCCAGTCAAAAATTCCATTAAAACTGGTAAGTAAATGTGCTAAGCTCATCTGTCATGTATAAATGTCTCCTATGAAGCAATGACTGCGATACATCAAACTATACATGGCCTCTTACCAGGAAAAACATGCGGGGCTGCATGATCTTCCGAGATAGCTTCATCAGAATTCCTTCTTTGAGAAAAACCTGATTCATCCAAACAAATACCCAGTTAGTCCTACCATCATAAAACAGCTACAATATACAGGTAATTTCCCTTTCAACATTCTTCTTGTAGAATTTTTTTGTGTGTGGGGGGGGCCAGGGAGACAGTTTCCTTGTGACTTTTTATAGTCATGGTTTCTTTTTAAACTCTCAAAGTCATTTAGAAATTATATAAAAAGAAAGTTTTAAAAAGCCAGAAAATAAGAAATTAAGGGAGAAAAAAGGAATTGGACAAGCAAGCAACATTTCATAAAGTCATTTTGGCCCCAGGGGTACTACGTGGACTAAAATGTAATTGACTGAGTGTGTACTTGGTCCTGAGTCACTTCCGACATCCTAGCGATTACATTTGTAATTTTCCTGAATTCATTCCCTAGACCACTTCTGTGCTCTATGAGGAGCATCAAAATACCAATTTTCTCCCTCCCCTTACGATCCTCTTTTACTTTAAAGATTTTAGATGAAACTGTCTTCAAAGCTGTGTGAGGTCAGCTGTATCACAATAAAATGATGCCATTAAATCATTATATTGGGACTCATTGGGTCCCTTGCCTTTCTCCTAATTGAATTGTACTTCTTATCACAGTGACTCACATCATGAATGTTTTGAATGGATGGAGCAATTCACATTACGTCAATAAAGGGTAACAATAACGAATAACCTAGTTTTATAATGAAAATTTAAAAAGCTACATGAGTGGAGGTGTGGCTCAAATGGTACAGCACCTGCTTTGCAAGCACAAAGCCCAGTAACAACCCCCCCAAAAAAACAGTAAATAAAAACCAGCTGCAGATAGTACATGAATGGTTTGCATTAAATCTGCAAAAGGTAGTCTAAAACACTTACACGTCCAGGCTGTACTATTTCATGGTGTCCGTTTAAGCTGTACTGGATTTGCATAAGCTTCTGAAAGTTGTCCTACAGAAAGACAATGTAGGGCATGTGAAGGCCCAGGATCCCTGGCTCAAGAGTGTACCAGTTTCTAGATCAAGATACTTACTCCTTGCTTCATGGTGTCATTGGCATGGTTAGCTACCTCTATAACGACAGCAAGGGCACCTAAAATATGTAGGAAAAGAAGGCACATTTCATCATTACTGTTAAAACTAGTAGTTTACAACATTAAGCAGTTCCAGATGACAAAAGAGCTATTTCATAGCAACCAGATTCTGGTGGACCTTGGTTGACTGGGTGTAAGCAGAATTATTGATGATAAGGTTCAGTGAGGGCATAAGCAAGGAAAAACAGGCTAAACCCAATACCTATGATCAAAACTGAGCCACTGGAAGACTCTAAGGATTAGACACCATAGATGCTGATTATCAACAGCATGAACATCTGGGCTGTTTTGTGCTGAGATGTCCTTATTCTGTTGAAATTTAATAACAATAGGATTTTACCTGGAAGCTACATATAAACTGTCTCTGGGAAGGAAGACCATAAGAGAAAAATGATTCTGACATGGGCTGGCAGAGTGGCTTAAGTGATAGAGCACTTGCCTAGCAAGTGTGAGAGCTACAGTTCAACACCCACAGTACCACAACAAAAAAAAAAAAAAAAAAAAAAAAAGAAGAAAAAGAAAAAAGGAAATCCTGATTTACGAAACAGGAACTATGAGAAATGATTATTTAAGAGGTGATGAGGGTGTGCACAGTGGTACAGTGCATGCTTAACGTGATTCAATTCCTACCACCATCAATAAGTAGATAAATGAAACAAAATAAATATACAAAATATACAAGGGTCAGGAGCTCAGCCTCTCTCTCTTAGTCTTATTCCAAGATGTGTTAGTTAGAAATAAGAGAAGTGCAAAGTTCTGGGTTCCATCCCTAGTACTACCCAAAAAAAACAAAACGAAAGAAATGAGAGGGCTGGCAGAGTGGTTCAAGTGCTAGAGCACCTGCCTAGCAAGAATGAGGCCCTGAGTTCAAGCTCCAGTACCACTAAAAAAAAAAAAAAGAAGAAGAAATGAGAGAAATGCCACACTAGACCTTAGCATGGAAATGGGGGATATTGCTTTATGAGCTGGATTACTTAGCTTTATGGGACAATCTGTGTTTTACAATTTGTATCAGCCCTTTGCCTTCCACAAAGTGTTTTTGAATGCTCTGACCTAGTCACCTTTGTAACTAGATATAAAGGAAAAAAGTCTGCTATTTATTTATTTAGACAGGGTCTTACTATGTAGCTAGCTCAAGGTGGCCTGGAACTCGAGATCCTTCTGGCTTAGTCTCCCAAGTACTGGGATCACAGGTGTGCACCACTGCATTTAGCTAAGCCTGCCTTTTGCCTGCTTCTGGGATGCAACTGCTTTCAATCCAAAGCAGTAGTGCTCCTCTACGGGCAGGTGGGTACATGTAAAGACAACTTGTGGTTATCACAGTGAATGGGAAGGTCCACTAGTCTTTAGTGAGTAAAGGGCAGGGATACTAAACACCATGTAATACTCAGAAACCACACAAAGATGACTGCCTTGTACCATATGACAGTGGCATTCTCACCAAGATAAACTGGAAGCATGCCCTACCAAGGCTTTGTGGAAGTGATGGCATTCATCAATGAAAGGACTGTGCCTTTAGCTTGGCTGCCCACCTTTCAAAGGTGAGTGTGCTTGTCTCATTTTTCCCTCACCTGCTTGCAGTCTTATCTACAGCATTAACTGCTCTGCCTCTGGCTATGTAGTGTACCCTACTCACTACTTATTTTAATCTGTGCCTTTGCTGAAGTGGTTAATTTCCATTAAACAAGCTCCTTAATCTCTGGCCCTGTATTTGTTTTATCTACAAAATTGAGCTAATCACTAATTTTACTTGAAGGTAGAAGCCCTGGAACATGAGACAGAGTTTTCTTGAGGCTCTATTTGCTATGATTTGACGTGAGGGTGGGTTCCTAGGTTCAATTCCTAGGACCTTACACATGCTAAGCATACACTGACTGAGCTACAACCCCAGGCCCTTCCTATAATTTTTTTCCTCATGAGACAGACTCTAGTCAGCAATGCCCACTCTTCTCACCCACCCTTCAGCTCGTCCCGAGTTCCATATGGTGCTAAGCAAATCTTCCCCACTTCCTCAACCATCACACTTTTGTTATCAGTGTATTTTTACTTTCTAGGCCTAAGTAAGCAAACAGCAGCAGCAACAACAACAAAAACCTTTTGTAACATTTGAGAATGCAAAAGTTATTTACCTTGAGTGTCTCTGTAATCTCCAGAATCTTCTAAGAGATTCTTCAAGTAATCTAGAAAAGAAAACACTTATTCTTCTTAGTATTTAGCATAATGAATCACTTTCCCTCAGTTACTAAAGCTAACGTCAGTTATAGTCCAACTTGTGTTGACTTTCTTAAAAATGTCAAAGAACAAGACCCTGAGATCAGTTTGAAATCAGGACACAGAATCAGACCTGCAAACACCCTACGAGGTCATCCTGGTCACTTTAAAGATAAGAAATCCAATGACTGAGTAAAAAAATCTCACCGAACTCACACAACCTTTTGTGCCAAAGCCAGGACTAAGATTCAGGTCTCCTGATGCCAGGCTCAACTCATTTTACCAACATACATGAAACATTTTAAGTACAAAATTCTAAGGCAGTAGTGGGTTGAATGCCCATGAGACAGATTTGTCAATCGGAACATCTTACCAACGCCCAAGATACCAAAAGAATTCATTGTGTGTCTAAACCAGTGGTTTCCAAATGAGGGCGGATTTGCCCCCGGGGCCATTTGGCAATGTCTGGAATCATTCTGGCTTGTCACAACTAGGGGTAAGGGAGTGCTGCTGGCATCTGATGGGTACAGCCAAGGATGCTGCTAAACTTCCTACAGCGTAGCCTCACAACAAAGGACTGTCTGACCCAAACGGTCAACGGAGGGGGGCCGAGAAACCCTGTACACTAAAAGGTGGTCTGCAAATAAACAATGTGGTATACAGTGCCTCATACAATTGGAGAAAGGTTATATTTAATAAATCTTCAACACCAAGGAACATCCCCGGAGTTCAAAGCAACTTTCCTTATCTGTTGAGAAATGCTGGATGTTGTCCCCCCTACTTACCTAACAAATTAAAATAAATTCTTTTCCCTGAACTTATCACCCACTCACCTGTCCCTAGTACGTGGTCCCTTTCAACTTTTCTGATTTTCTCTCTTACCTAACACAGGCCGTTTTGATCATGCAATCCTTCAGTACTTTCATGTGTTCTCTAGCTCTGTGCCATTTGTCTGCTCTCTTCTTTTGAATATCTTTCTCTGTCTCTGCATACAAAAATTTTATTCATACTCTTTTTTTTTTTAACTAAGTCCATTTATTAAAATAGTTGACTTAGGCATCTGCAATAGTGAGTTATAAACTCAACAGGGTCAACTCATATTTGTGTGTATGTGTCTCTCTGTGTGTGTACATGCATGTAGGTGTGCATACCGTGCTGGGGACTGAACCTAGAACCCGGGGCCTCATGCATACTAAGTACACAGTCTACAACTGAATTACAGTCTCAACCCTCAATTCATATCCTTCAAGGATTGTCTCAAATTCCTCCTCTCCTACAAAACTTTCCATTTGAAAGAACTATTTTTTCCCTTTGAATAGGACATGACATGGCAATTACTCACTTTATGCCTTTTGTCATTTATAGGGCCCACATCTGATTCTTCTTTCCCTCTCTCCCCCTTCTACTTCCCTCCTTCAATCCCTCCCTATCTTCCCCTCCCCCCCTTGTAGCAAGTACTTGGCCAAAAGCTTTGCGCACAGGGGACAATGAGCATTTAATGAGTTAAAATTTTTAAGTATGGATTGACCCCAGGCCCTTGCACATGTTAAGCATGTGATCTATCACTGAGCTATACCACAGTCCCCCACCCCCATTTTGTTTAAAGAAAGGATTGTTCAGGTATAAGGCAAGAAAGGTTGAAACAAATCCTAGTGTTGGTAGGAGTCCAGAAAATGGAAGGAGAAAAGGCAAGTTCAAAGACTGAATACATTTTCACTCACTTAGCAATATTATAAAAGATATAATTTCATCCCATGGATTTATGAAGTCATGCCCAAAGTGCACAAAGGCAAACCTGGATGTCAGTGCCAGCTTTTCATATGTAATAATGGCACACATGCCCAACTGCTAAAACTTCCTGTGTCTTTGAGACAGAGATCTAAGAGCTTGTGTGAGTCTAGACATGCATATTATAAATATCCAGCACTGGCAGCAAACCATGATGAGATGTTATGTATGACCACATTAAGTTTCCCTGCACCATGTATAGACTCCATCTTACCAGAGACCCACACCAGACGTTTAAATCTTAAGGCAATTTGAACACACAGGTTGAAGAGCATGCCTTTGATCAACCAGGAAAACCATAAAATTAACAAAATATATCAACTATACATTATACTTGAGTTACCCAGAGATGAAAAACACTTATTCTTACTTTGACTCCATCAAAGTATGCTTTCCCTGTATAAGCCATGCTTGGTGAATCTAAATATTTAGTATTTCTGTGGTTGAAAGTGCTAGGTTTTTTATTAAATGTTCTCAATGCCTAAGCTATCTCATTAATCAAAAGTGATTTTCTTTAAGCTTTTAATTAGCTGAAGACTACAGAAAGGAAAGCAGGTTTACTTAAATATCAGATTTGTGGCAAGTTCTTCTTTTGTCTTCAATTCTTATTCTTTTATACAGAAGTATATTTGTGTAAACTAAGACATTTCTTCACACCAAGGAGCTCCCTAGATGTCTGTATTTGGAAATGCTCTCCTCAGAAACCACTGTGCTTAGTCTGATAAGCTTCTGAATTGCAATCAATTTTCTTGTTTCTTTTCTATTCTTTTTTTGCTTGTGCTCAAGCTCAGTTGTTGGTTTATCAACCTGAACTTTAAGGAATAGAGTTTAAATAAACACAAACGGAACATAAAACCCACTACTAAGATATTGCAGCATCACACTATTAATCAAGAAAGTGATGGACTTAAGTCTGCCCTCTGCCAATTTTTAAAAACAGCATAAGGGGTCTCCAAAATTCAATCCATCCATGAATGTATGTTGTTAGGGCATGTTGTTGCAGTAGGTCCTTCTGAGAAGTTTTACCTTTTCAAGGAAGACAGGACCATGATTCCCTTACAGAGTTATGAATCACCGAGTGCCTTAGGTGCAGCACGAGAATAGTATGACTGATCGCCTGCTGAGTCAGATGGGAGGAGCAACGAAACCACTAGCTGCCCAGTGACTGCTACAGTCAAGGTGAAATGCAGGAAAGGAGACAGACAGATGTGCCTGCATTGATCATAGGAATTGTACCACCTACCATTTAGGACGTAGTCTCTGGCTGAAACTTTCACAGTAACAAGGAGGGGGAAGCAGTTGATTCACTTTGCTATGTTAGATCTGTAGGTTCTTACAGCTTTCATGCTCTGCCAAAACAAATTAAGCAGCATCCAAAACTTCCCTAATAAAAACACCTCACATACTGAGGTTATTTTTGTCAAAGGAAAAAAATTGGTGCAGTGTATAGGCGCTACAATATGTACTCTCTGACCACCAGATGGCATCATTGATCAGTACAAGTTAATTAACTCCTAATTATCACCATCACACAACATAAGTAACACACAATCAACTGAAACATTCCATATGCATCACTAGAGATATGCAAGTTATCTTTCTACTCACATACAAGGCCCAGGAAGAACGGACGAGGGCCCAACAAACATTATATCTTGTTAGAGGTCTAGAAGCCTTATGGTAACTCCTTGATTACCTAATCAACCAACAGCCAACTTAAAACAAAAACCATTCAGAAGTACTGCAGTTAGCCCTTACTGAACATTACTCATGGGTGGGAATCTGGACTGTCTGCCTTCAACACCCAGATTCCTAGACTGTGTGTTGAGAATCGGTGGTGGTAGAGCACAGAGGAAATGAGTGGGGTGACATTCCAGAGTCAAGTGTTTTGAATTTGAGGCCATGCCTGTTTAGTTTAGTATTATTCAGGTTTCTTCTTTCCTCCATAAATATGTAGTGAGCTCAGCAACACAAACAGAATTATGAAATCCTAAGAAAAATAATCTGTACAGGCAATAAGACTATTTTACAAAGTTTCAAAATTTGAAAGGTGAAACTTAAAATTGCCCAGGCTTATGAAACAAGTTCAGATCATTTGAAATACCAAAACAAAGATCTAAGTGTGAAGTTGTAAGACCTGACATCTTCAAAGGCTGTTCAGTGAAATGCTCTAGAGCCCTGGCTAGGGAATCACAAGACTGAGATTCTTACTTTGCTGTCCAGTCATATCTGGCCAAAGCATAGACATAACATTTTTTAAAATGCTATCTATCTTCCTTTTCCTTCCCCTTCCCCTTTCCCCCCACTTCCCTTCCTTCCTTCAACCCAAGATATGCTAGGCAAGCCCTCTACTACTGAGTTATTTTGTAGGTTTCTAAAATTTTTTTTGTTTGGTAATACTGGGGGTTGAACTCGGGGCCTCACACTTGCTAGCCAGGAGTTTTATCTCTTGAGCCACTCCACCAATCCCCCATGTCTTTCACATATGTCAATGAGTCATACATAGGAGAATTAGGCTGGCCGGGAACTGGTGGCTCATGCCTGTAATCCTAGCTACTTAGGAGGCAGAGATCAGGAGGACAGCAGTCTGAAGCCAGCCTGGGCAAATAGTTCGCAAGACCCTATCTCAAAAAAAAACTATTCACAAAAAACGGCTGGCAGAGTGGCTCAAGATGTAGGCCCTGAGTTCAAAGCCAAAAGCCATGGGTGTGGGGGCAGGGGGGGGGGAGGAGGGAAGAATTAGACTGGCCACTAGTATATGTCTAGAACCCCAGCTACTCAGGAGGATTAGGCAGAATTGTAAGTTCAAAGCCAGCCTAGGCAAAACAATGAATTGTTTCAAAAAAAGGAGAAAAGAAAAAGAGAGAAAGGAAACTGATTTACATTCTAAAACACTGTGAAACACACTTGCTAAATTATAAAATGCATCATGAGGCTGAGGATAGTACAGCACTTTGGCCTAGCATGCGTGAGATCCTAGGTTTGATCCCCAGAACCTCAAAAGAAGAAAAAAAAGATGAGAAATTTAAAAAGTTAAATAATAATGGAGAAAACTTAAACCATGAATAATACCTCTCTAAAATAATGAGTACAGTTTCAAACTATTTCCTTCTATTTTTATAAATGTTTAACTTGACTTAGTATTATGCAGAGTTTTATGCTCCACTGCAGCTCACAATGG